ATCACGTTCTATGCGCCGTCTCACTATCACATTACATGTCGTATGTATCACGTCTCATGCATCGCCTCACTATCACATTACATGTCGTATCTATCACGTCACATGCACCTTCTCACTATCACATTACATGTCGTATCTATCACGTCCTATGCGCCGCCTCACTATCACATTACATGTCGTATCTATCACGTCCTATGCGCCGTCTCACTATCACATTACATGTCGTATCTATCACGTCACATGCACCGTCTCACTATCACATTACATGTCGTATCTATGACGTCCTATGCGCCGTCTCACTATCACATTACATGTCGTATCTATCACGTCCTATGCGCCGTCTCATTATCACATTACATGTCGTATCTATCACGTCCTATGCGCCGTCTCACTATCACATTACATGTCGTATCTATCACGTCCTATGCACCGTCTCACTATCACATTACATGTCGTATCTATCACGTCACATGCACCGTCTCACTATCACATTACATGTCGTATCTATCACGTCTCATGCACCGTCTCACTATCACATTACATGTCGTATCTATCACGTCTCATGCATCGCCTCACTATCACATTACATGTCGTATCTATCACGTCCTATGCACGTCTCACTTTCACATTACATGACGTATCTATCACGTCCTATGCGCCGTCTCACTATCACATTACATGTCGTATCTATCACGTCTCATGCACCGTCTCACTATCACATTACATGTCGTATCTATCACGTCTCATGCACCGTCTCACTATCACATTACATGTCGTATCTATCACGTCTCATGCACCGTCTCACTATCACATTACATGTCGTATCTATCACGTCTCATGCACCGTCTCACTATCACATTACATGTCGTATCTATCACGTCCTATGCGCCGCCTCACTATCACATTACATGTCGTATCTATCACGTCTCATGCACCGTCTCACTATCACATTACATGTCGTATCTATCACGTCTCATGCACCGTCTCACTATCACATTACATGTCGTATCTATCACGTCACATGCGCCGCCTCACTATCACATTACATGTCGTATCTATCAAGTCTCATGCACCGTCTCACTATCACATTACATGTCGTATCTATCACGTCCTATGCACCGTCTCACTATCACATTACATGTCGTATCTATCACGTCCTATGCGCCGTCTCACTATCACATTACATGTCGTATCTATCACGTCTCATGCATCGCCTCACTATCACATTACATGTCGTATCTATCACGTCACATGCACCTTCTCACTATCACATTACATGTCGTATCTATCACGTCCTATGCGCCGCCTCACTATCACATTACATGTCGTATCTATCACGTCCTATGCACCGTCTCACTATCACATTACATGTCGTATCTATCACGTCTCATGCACCGTCTCACTATTACATGTCGTATCTATCACGTCCTATGCGCCGTCTCACTATCACATTACATGTCGTATCTATCACGTCCTATGCACCGTCTCACTATCACATTACATGTCGTATCTATCACGTCACATGCACCGTCTCACTATCACATTACATGTCGTATCTATCACGTCTCATGCATCGCCTCACTATCACATTACATGTCGTATCTATCACGTCTCATGCACCGCCTCACTATCACATTACATGTCGTATCTATCACGTCCTATGCGCCGTCTCAATATCACATTACATGTCGTATCTATCACGTCACATGCGCCGTCTCACTATCACATTACATGTCGTATCTATCACGTCTCATGCACCGTCTCACTATCACATTACATGTCGTATCTATCACGTCTCATGCATCGCCTCACTATCACATTACATGTCGTATCTATCACGTCTCATGCACGTCTCACTTTCACATTACATGACGTATCTATCACGTCCTATGCGCCGTCTCACTATCACATTACATGTCGTATCTATCACGTCTCATGCACCGTCTCACTATCACATTACATGTCGTATCTATCACGTCTCATGCACCGTCTCACTATCACATTACATGTCGTATCTATCACGTCTCATGCACCGTCTCACTATCACATTACATGTCGTATCTATCACGTCTCATGCACCGTCTCACTATCACATTACATGTCGTATCTATCACGTCCTATGCGCCGCCTCACTATCACATTACATGTCGTATCTATCACGTCTCATGCACCGTCTCACTATCACATTACATGTCGTATCTATCACGTCTCATGCACCGTCTCACTATCACATTACATGTCGTATCTATCACGTCCTATGCGCCGCCTCACTATCACATTACATGTCGTATCTATCACGTCTCATGCACCGTCTCACTATCACATTACATGTCGTATCTATCACGTCCTATGCACCGTCTCACTATCACATTACATGTCGTATCTATCACGTCCTATGCGCCGTCTCACTATCACATTACATGTCGTATCCATCACGTCTCATGCATCGCCTCACTATCACATTACATGTCGTATCTATCACGTCACATGCACCTTCTCACTATCACATTACATGTCGTATCTATCACGTCCTATGCGCCGCCTCACTATCACATTACATGTCGTATCTATCACGTCCTATGCACCGTCTCACTATCACATTACATGTCGTATCTATCACGTCTCATGCACCGTCTCACTATTACATGTCGTATCTATCACGTCCTATGCGCCGTCTCAATATCACATTACATGTCGTATCTATCACGTCACATGCACCGTCTCACTATCACATTTCATGTCGTATCTATCACGTCTCATGCACCGTCTCACTATCACATTACATGTCGTATCTATCACGTCTCATGCATCGCCTCACTATCACATTACATGTCGTATCTATCACGTCCTATGCGCCGTCTCAATATCACATTAAATGTCGTATCTATCACGTCCTATGCACCGTCTCACTATCACATTACATGTCGTATCTATCAAGTGTCATGCATCGCCTCACTATCACATTACATGTCGTATCTATCACGTCTCATGCATCGCCTCACTATCACATTACATGTCGTATCTATCACGTCTCATGCACCGTCTCACTATCACATTACATGTCGTATCTATCACGTCTCATGCATCGCCACACTATCACATTACATGTCGTATCTATCACGTCTCATGCACCGTCTCACTATCACATTACATGTCGTATCTATCACGTCACATGCACCGTCTCACTATCACATTACATGTCGTATCTATCACGTCCTATGCGCCGTCTCACTATCACATTACATGTCGTATCTATCACGTTCTATGCGCCGTCTCACTATCACATTACATGTCGTATGTATCACGTCTCATGCATCGCCTCACTATCACAATACATGTCGTATCTATCACGTCACATGCACCTTCTCACTATCACATTACATGTCGTATCTATCACGTCCTATGCGCCGCCTCACTATCACATTACATGTCGTATCTATCACGTCCTATGCGCCGTCTCACTATCACATTACATGTCGTATCTATCACGTCACATGCACCGTCTCACTATCACATTACATGTCGTATCTATCACGTCCTATGCGCCGTCTCATTATCACATTACATGTCGTATCTATCACGTCCTATGCGCCGTCTCACTATCACATTACATGTCGTATCTATAACGTCCTATGCACCGTCTCACTATCACATTACATGTCGTATCTATCACGTCACATGCACCGTCTCACTATCACATTACATGTCGTATCTATCACGTCTCATGCATCGCCTCACTATCACATTACATGTCGTATCTATCACGTCTCATGCACCGCCTCACTATCACATTACATGTCGTATCTATCACGTCCTATGCGCCGTCTCAATATCACATTACATGTCGTATCTATCACGTCACATGCGCCGTCTCACTATCACATTACATGTCGTATCTATCACGTCTCATGCACCGTCTCACTATCACATTACATGTCGTATCTATCACGTCTCATGCATCGCCTCACTATCACATTACATGTCGTATCTATCACGTCTCATGCACGTCTCACTTTCACATTACATGTCGTATCTATCACGTCCTATGCGCCGTCTCACTATCACATTACATGTCGTATCTATCACGTCCTATGCGCCGTCTCACTATCACATTATATGTCGTATCTATCACGTCTCATGCATCGCCTCACTATCACATTACATGTCGTATCTATCACGTCTCATGCATCGCCTCACTATACCATTGCATGTCGTATCTATCACGTCACATGCACCGTCTCACTATCACATTACATGTCGTATCTATCACGTTTCATGCATCGCCTCACTATCACATTACATGTCGTATCTATCACGTCTCATGCACCGTCTCACTATCACATTACATGTCGTATCTATCACGTCTCATGCGCCGTCTCACTATCACATTACATGTCGTATCTATCACGTCTCATGCACCGCCTCACTATCACATTACATGTCGTATCTATCACGTCTCATGCATCGCCTCACTATCACATTACATGTCGTATCTATCACGTCTCATGCGCCGCCTCACTATCACATTTCATGTCGTATCTATCACGTCTCATGCATCGCCTCACTATCACATTACATGTCGTATCTATCACGTCTCATGCACCGTCTCACTATCACATTACATGTCGTATCTATCACGTCCTATGCGCCGTCTCACTATCACATTACATGTCGCATCTATCACGTCTCATGCACCGTCTCACTATCACATTACATGTCGTATATATCACGTCTCATGCATCGCCTCACTATAACAATACATGACGTATCCATCACGTCACATGCACCGCCTCACTATCACATTACATGTCGTATCTATCACGTCTCATGCACCGCCTCACTAACATGTCGTATCTACCACGTCCCATGCACCGCCTCACTATCACATTATATAACGTATGTATGGCCTCAGAGTAACTGTGTATCTCATTATAAAATGTATGTATCACCTAATCTGACCTGTGTATCGCATGAAGTATGTACCGCCCTGTATGCTCCAGGCTTAATGACAACCTACGTGTGAAAGTGGCGGACTTCGGACTGTGCAGAGACATCTACGAGAAAGGCTACTATTCCAGCGACAACAAGAAGAAGCTGCCGATCCGCTGGATGGCGCCAGAGAGCATGGAGAGAGGAAGCTACAGCTCCAAGTCAGACGTGGTAGGTACTGGAGGCTGGTCCTAGGTGATGACAAACAGGTTTCTGATAAGGACAATATAGAGAGGCAACTCCAAGTTAGACGTGGTCGGTACTGGAAGCTGGTCCTAGGTGACGACAAACTGGTTCCTGATAAGGACAATATAGAGAGTCAACTCCAAGTCAGACGTGGTAGGTTCTGGAAGCTGTTACCAGGTGATGACAAACAGGTTTCTGATAAGGACAATATAGAGAGGCAACTCCAAATTAGACGTTTTCGGTACTGGAGGCTGGTCCTAGGTGACGACAAACAGGTTTCTGATAAGGACAATATAGAGAGGCAACTCCAAGTTAGACGTTTTTGGTACTGGAAGCTGTTACCAGGTGACGACAAACAGGTTTCTGATTAGGACAATATAGAGAGGCAACTCCAAGTTAGACGTTTTCGGTACTGGAGGCTGGTCCTAGGTGACGACAAACAGGTTTCTGATAAGGACAATATAGAGAGGCAACTCCAAGTTAGACGTTTTTGGTACTGGAAGCTGTTACCAGGTGACGACAAACAGGTTTCTGATAAGGACAATATAGAGAGGCAACTCCAAGTTAGACGTTTTTGGTACTGGAAGCTGTTACCAGGTGACGACAAACAGGTTTCTGATAAGGACAACATAGAGAGGCAACTCCAAGTTAGACGTTTTCGTTCCTGGAGGCTGGTCCTAGGTGACGACAAACAGGTGTCTGATCAGGACAATATAGAGAGGCAACTCCAAATTAGACGTTTTCGGTACTGGAGGCTCGTCCTAGGTGATGACAAACAGGTTTCTGATAAGGACAATATAGAGAGGCATCTCCAAGTTAGACGTGGTCGGTACATTAGCCTGTACCAGGTGACGACAAACAGGTTTCTGATAAGGACAATATAGAGAGGCAACTCCAAGTTAGACGTTTTTGGTACTGGAAGCTGTTACCACGTGACGACAAACAGGTTTCTGATAAGGACAACATAGAGAGGCAACTCCAAGTTAGACGTTTTCGTTCCTGGAGGCTGGTCCTAGGTGACGACAAACAGGTTTCTGATAAGGACAATATAGAGAGGCATCTCCAAGTTAGACGTGAGGTACATCAGGCTGTTACTTGGTGACGACAAACAGGTTTCTGATAAGGACAACATAGAGAGGCAACTCCAAGTTAGACGTGGTTGATACGGGAAGCTGCTCCTAGGTGACGACAAACATGTTTCTGATAAGGACAACATAGAGAGGCAACTCCAAGTTAGACGTGGTCGGTACTGGAAGCTGGTCCTAGGTGACGACAAACTGGTTTCTGATAAGGACAACATAGAGAGGCAACTCCAAGTCAGTTCATCGCGATTGGTAGATGCAAGAGCTCAAGAGGGTTCGCAAGGCTGCAGCCGTTGGAGGATTGAGTTAACTTAGATCAAAGCTAAAGTAGAGAGAAATGGAATATATTCCATATTTCGAGTGAAATATCATGTTTCTCTCATCGAGTGACGAGATATCTCCTTTTCCACGTCACGAAATGAGTGAAACCTAATACTCCAAGAGACACTATTTATTAGATACTTTTTGTGTAGTTGTCAATGGGAAAACTCAATTATTTCACTACAAATGTATAACCTTGAAACGTAAATTCTCCCTACCTAACACCCAGAGACGTTTCATCACCCCTTGTAATTGAGACTTTAAAAGTCTCCCATGTTTGCAAAATCTTAAAAACATATAGACAAAAGTAACAAAACATATACGACGTCAAATAATTTCTTTGTCATACATTTGGATATGATTATATATACAAAATCAACTTCAACAAAATATATCCTTGAATGTTGACGAGACCGCTGTTCGAAGCGAAAGGATACACCCTGGTCAAGTAACAAAAATGGCGCTTTGCGAAAGAAACAGTCTCGTTTGACGAGTTAAATGAGAAATTTAAAGTTTGTAACGAAACATTTTCAAGAGAATAACAAACGGCAAGAATCGATATTTACTCCATAAATGAACATCTGTCATTAGTTTGCCTTGTAAATGTGGAACTAACGTAAATAGGAATTACGACTACGGTTTGTGTACGGGCGAGACGCTTTCGATAAAGGGAGACACAAGCTCCTCACAGCGATAGTCCGTTCTCGGAGCTCTCTTATACTATCGCTGCCACCAGTCAAAACTCCCCACTGTGATAGGTGGCCCCAACCATGCTTGGAGTTGAACTCGCAACCGAATGACCGTTATGTTTACAAACAAGTGACGACTGCTGTGACGCCGAATACACTTACCGCTGATAAATTACTTTCTTATTTGATATAGTAAGAATGTAAGGGAGAAGTTGGTTGATTTTCCGTTAGTATGCAATCTCGAACCAATCTGATTATTTAAACAACAAAGTAAATTCATCTGGAAAACATGGCCAGTCGTAAAGCCTTTCAAAATGAACTATGATGGCATTCCCAAAGACATAAACAAAAGTATACACGTTACTACATATGGGGTTAGAGGGCAAATTTCAAGATTCTCGTAATGGCCGCGCCCACACTGGTGGCAGCGATGTTACCGAGAGTGTAACAAAGGTGTCACGCGCTGGGAAGGAGCTAGAGGGAGACAATGTAATGGGAGGTAACTCTTGTAAGACAATAGTTCTGTCAAAGTGATATGTTCACTACAGTGAAATAGCAAGTGTTATGTCACTGCAAGGAAAACTTCACTTTTCTCAACTTCAGAAAACACAGTTTTTTACGTTTAAGTATATAATAAAGCTCTCTCTTGTTACGCAAAACTCAGATGTTCTGTATGCACAGGGCAATATGTTTTGTAACAGCGTTACTTAATAGACAAATAACACGTAAGTCGGATAAAAGACTTACCCAGACTGAATATTTGGTATAACAGGAGTTGGCCGTATCTGTCATCTGTTTCGTTGCAGTGGGTTCTTGATTTAACTTCGAAACGTTCCCTTACAGTGGTCTCTGGGTGTGGTTCTGTGGGAGGTGCTGACACGTGGAGCCACACCCTACCCGGGGGTGGATGGATGGGATATCACGCTCTTCCTCCAACATGGCCGGCGTCTTCAACAACCCTGGTTCTGCAGTAATGAGTTGTAAGTAACACAACCAAGGCGTTCATAATTGTAGACTAATTTGGGTAAACATGTCATTATACACCTACCTAAAGCTCCATGATCCACAAGGTAATTGGAGCAAAGTGTATGGCTGCGTGTACTAGTCCGGACTAATGCCGATGTTATAGTGCTAGCTCACTGAGATGCCATGGCGCAGTTCACTTTGAATGCCCCACTCAGACACAGTATACTGACGCCAGTCCTTGTTTTAGCACCTCAATGCCGAGCGCCAAGCAGGGTAACAACAAGTACCAACTTTTAATGTTTTTTGCTATGCCGCCCAAATATCTCCGGGCGGACGCTCTACCATTAGACCACGGAGGCGGTCCATCATTATTGAAGTTATATCTGTATATGACCTGTAAATAATCGAGAATGACCAGGCACACCAGTGACTGAAAGCTTGAGCAACTATCAACGCCATTGACGTACAGATGATACCAGTCAGGACAGTAGTAGAGCCTGACCACCCGATCCCAAGTTTAGTCACAAGCATTATGTGCTTGGGACATACACTGACTCGGAAACATAACATGGATTATGGGTAATGTAACTTCGAGCGAGGGGGCAGGTTTAAACAGTTTACAGCGACCTCTGTGGAACAAGATATTTTCCTCAACGCCCAATAATATTTGTATAATATTATATATATTATCGAAAATGTACATCTAAACAACACGCAAACGATGTTGATAAGTTTAATGGGACGCTGGGATAGCATAGTGGTTTATGCGTTGGCTCATTAAATCCCAGACCCTGGTTCGATTCTCCACAAGGGTACAGAGCGTAAAATCAATTTCTGGATAGAAAAGGCTGGAATTTTGCCCAAACGACGTCAAATCCCGACTATGCACATTTAATTGAGCCATTTCTTCATGTTACTGATGCTTATTCACAAGTCATTACTATCAATATAGATTTGTTGCCTACATTGTTACATATACCCCCCCCCCCCCCCCCCAACCCACCCACCTACCCACCCCCGGATCTACCGTCCACTGAATGTATGTCTGAAACACTGCTGAATTTAAATTTTAATTCTCACGGCGGTACCATCTGTTTAAACAATATTACTTTTGTGTTCTTTTAAAAGATGACTCGAGGAGATTTCCCTTCCCCCTGATTTTTATTATAAATTAATACACCGTCATCCATGCATCTTTCTAATCTAGTCTACTATACAGTGTGTACTACATACATTGTAGGAACACTGGCATCCATGTATGTTTCCAATCTACTCGACTATACAGTGTGTACTATATACATTCTAGGAACACTGGCATCCATGCATCTTTCCAATCTACTCGACTATACAGTGTGTACTACATACATTCTAGGAACACTGGCATCCATGTATGTTTCCAATCTACTCGACTATACAGTGTGTACTATATACATTCTAGGAACACTGGCAACCATGCATCTTTCCAATCTACTCCACTATACAGTGTGTACTATATACATTGTAGGAACACTGGCATCCATGTATGTTTCCAATCTACTCGACTATACAGTGTGTACTATATACATTCTAGGAACACTGGCATCCATGCATCTTTCCAATCTACTCGACTATACAGTGTGTACTATATACATTCTAGGAACACTGGCATCCATGTATGTTTCCAATCTACTCCACTATACAGTTTGTACTACATACATTCTAGGAACACTGGCAACCATGTATGTTTCCAATCTACTCGACTATACAGTGTGTACTATATACATTCTAGGAACACTGACATCCATGCATCTTTCCAATCTACTCGAATATACAGTGTGTACTACATACATTCTAGGAAAACTGGCATCCATGTATGTTTCCAATCTACTCCACTATACAGTTTGTACTATATACATTCTAGGAACACTGGCAACCATGTATGTTTCCAATCTACTCCACTATACAGTTTGTACTATATACATTCTAGGAACACTGGCAACCATGTATGTTTCCAATCTACTCGACTATACAGTTTGTACTATATACATTCTAGGAACACTGGCAACCATGTATGTTTCCAATCTACTCCACTATACAGTTTGTACTATATACATTCTAGGAACACTGGCAACCATGTATGTTTCCAATCTACTCCACTATACAGTTTGTACTATATACATTCTAGGAACACTGGCAACCATGTATGTTTCCAATCTACTCGACTATACAGTGTGTACTATATACATTCTAGGAACACTGGCATTCATGCATCTTTCCAATCTACTCGACTATACAGTGTGTACTACATACATTGTAGGAACACTGGCATCCATGTATGTTTCCAATCTACTCGACTATACAGTTAGTACTATATACATACTAGGTACGCCGTCATCCATGCATCTTTCCAATCTACTCGACTATACAGTGTGTACTTTATACATTCTAGGAACACCGTCATCCATGCATCTTTCCAATCTAGTCGCCTATACAGTGTGTACTATATACATTCTAGCAACACCGTCATCCATGCATCTTTCTAATCTAGTCGCCTATACAGTGTGTACTATATACATTGTAGGAACACTGGCATCCATGTATGTTTCCAATCTACTCGACTATACAGTGTGTACGTTATACATTCTAGGAACACCGTCATCCATGCATCTTTTTAATCTAGTCTACTATACAGTGTGTACTATATACATTGTAGGAACACTGGCATCCATGTATGTTTCCAATCTACTCGACTATACAGTGTGTACTACATACATTCTAGGAACACTGGTATCCATGCATCTTTCCAATCTACTCGACTATACAGTGTGTACTACATACATTCTAGGAACACTGGCATCCATGTATGTTTCCAATCTACTCGACTATACAGTGTGTACTACATACATTCTAGGAACACTGGCATCCATGCATCTTTCCAATCTACTCGACTATACAGTGTGTACTATATACATTCTAGGAACACTGGCAACCATGCATCGTTCCAATCTACTCCACTATACAGTGTGTACTATATACATTCTAGGAACACTGGCATCCATGTATGTTTCCAATCTACTCGCCTATACAGTGTGTACTATATACATTCTAGGAACACTGGCATCCATGCATCTTTCCAATCTAGTCGACTATACAGTGTGTACTATATACGTTCTAGGAAAACTGGCATCCATGTATGTTTCCAATCTACTCGACTATACAGTGTGTACTATATACATTCTAGGAACACTGGCATCCATGCATCTTTCCAATCTACTCGACTATACAGTGTGTACTACATACATTGTAGGAACACTGGCATCCATGCATCTTTCCAATCTAGTCGCCTATACAGTGTGTACTATATACATTCTAGGAACACTGGCATCCATGCATCTTTCACATCTAGTCGCCTATACAGTGTGTACTATATACATTCTAGGAACACTGGCATTCATGCATCTTTCTAATCTAGTCGCCTATACAGTGTGTACTATATACATTCTAGGAACACCGTCATCCATGCATCTTTCTAATCTACTCGACTATACAGTGTGTACTATATACATTGTAGGAACACTGGCATCCATGCATCCTTCCAATCTACTCGACTATACAGTGTATACTATATAAACTAGTGTCCAAAAGAAACGATACCACCTGTTTGCAACGACATAAAAGAAAAACTAAACAATGCAGAAATTTAGGATTGGTGTTATGCTTTTGAGAAATCCTTTCACAACATCTGTACAAAAATTTCATTTCAATAAAATCTGTACAACCAATATGACAAGCCTTAAAAGATGGGTGGGGTCGAAAAATGAACATTTCGTTAGAGCACTGATCACAGAAACAACGGGAAATGTCACACCACACGTCTCAAAGTCAAGTCAGTAGCGGGTATGTCCACCGTGAGCATCAATACATGCCAGAACACGCCTACGGACAGATGACGTCAAACGTCTGATGACGTTGGGAGTGATGCGTTGCCATTCCTCGAGGAGACATCGTTCCAAGTCCTGGACGTTGACTGGAGGCACACGGCGACGTCGGATTTGCCGATCGAGGTGGTCCCATAAGTGCTCGATGGGATTCATGTCCGGTGAACATGCGGGCCATGGGAAAACCTGTACGTTGGCGTTGGCAAGGAAGTTCTGTGTCAATCTTGCTGTGTGTGGCCTTGCATTGTCATGTTGGAAAAGGAGTCCACGAGGCTGTTGCTGAATAAAGGGCACCACAACAGGCCGTAGGATGTCACCAAGATAACGCTGTGCATTCAGGTTTCCACGAATTACGACAAGCATCGTTTTGACGTCACCACATATGCCACCCCAAACCATTAACCCTCCACCTCCAAACGGCCGGACCTGTTGGATACAGTTAGGCGCCAAACGTTCACCAAATCGTCGGTATACAAGCTGCCGTCCATCGTTTCTGAAGATGAGGAATCTGCTCTCATCAGAGAACATAACACGTGCCCAGTCCCGCCGTTGCCTACGTCGAACTCGCCTGGCCCAGATCAGTCTGTTGTTCCGGTGTCGAGGCGTCAGGAGCGGTCCGCGGTAGGGATGACGTGGCCGGATACCATACTGCCGTAGTCTCCTGTAGACGGTCTGTCGACTGATCCTGTGTCCCAGTGCTGTAGCCGCCGTGGATGTCGCTGTTACGGTGCGGTTCCTCAGGTGTAATACCCGGATGTAACGATCTTCACGGGGCGTGGTTACTCGTGGTCTTCCACTCCTGGGCCTGTCTGACGTCTGACCTGTCTAACGTAACCGCTGCATCAACCTGGTGATAGTGATGCGTGCGTAGCCCAACCTTCTGGCGACGTCGACGTGTGACGCTCCTTGTTGGACCATTCCAGCGGCTCTCTCTCTCTCGATGGCTGTCAAACGTGGCATATCTTGTGTTCTGTTTGTTCCTGTGATATCAACGTGTCTGATCAGCCGTTTTATACAGTTTTTCTGCACGTGCAGAACATGCTAGAGAGGGAAATGTCACTTTCACAAAATTTACGTTTTTTCCCGGAAGTGATCACGTGTTCCCGGTATTTTTTATCGACTATACTGTGTTTGGGATGTGCAATACGAATTGGCATGTTTTCATACCTGACAATTCACTTAGTAAAAAACAATTTTGAAAATAAGTTGGTATCGTTTCTTTTGGACACTAGTTTACATTCTAGGAACACCGTCATCCATGCATCTTTCTAATCTACTCGACTATACAGTGTGTACTATATACATTCTAGGAACATTTTCAATCCATGCATCTTTCCAATCTAGTCGACTATACAGTGTGTACTATATACATTCTAGGAACACCGTCATCCATGCATCTTTCTAATCTACTCGACTATACAGTGTGTACTATATACATTCTAGGAACACCGTCATCCATGTATGTTTCTAATCTACTCGACTATACAGTGTGTACTATATACATTCTAGGAACATTGTCAATCCATGCATCTTTCTAATCTAGTCGCCTATACAGTGTGTACTATATATATTCTAGGAACACCGTTATCCATGCATCTTTCCAGTCTGCTCGACTTTACAGTGTGTGCTATATACATTCTAGGTACGGCGTCATGATGGAGATCTGGTCAAAAGACCCAGGGCTGCGACCCACCTTCTCTGAAGTGTCCGAATCACTCACCACGTTACTCAAAATGTCGTCAGACCAGGAAGTGACGTCAGAAAGCAAAGATGACGGTTACGTCACATTTCCTTCATGTTCCCGTTATGTTCAGCTTCGGGTCCCCGAATATTTTGTGTTAGAAACTGAAGCTTCAAGGGAAAATCTAGATGCAATGCCTATGTAGGGAAAAACCAGAAACGCTATCAACATTTCCTTTCTCGCGAGGAGGAGCAGATAAATGAACAGTGTCGCGTGATTCAGGTGTGAGGACCCGCAAGTATGAACTTTATGTGAGAGATTGCAGTTTAAACATATTATATCACTCATGTGGTGCGTCAGCATTGACAGAAATCCCAGATTTGGAGTAAATGATTATTTGTGTTTGTGTCTTTAGCATGACATTGATGTGTTTGTCAAAGGATGTAAATCGTCTGTTTTATGGTTAACACGTGAAATTGATGTTTGTATATGGCTATAGTAACTTGAGTACATCTTCCCGAGTCAAGGGCGTTAACTGACTATAAAAGTCCAGTTTCCATCCTTGCCTAACTAGAGTGGAATTTCCAGGCTCGATCGGAGCGCCACCAGTGGCTGTTGCGGGTTATGTACCTTTTATGTCCCTCCTAGTGACCAATACCACATATCCCTTGCATTTGCTTCAAACAAAATGGCGGCGCCCAGTCAAGACGATCTGATCGATAATCAAGATCATTTTTTGTAATAAAACCGCGAAGCGCATCAAATCCCTTTTGCACCTTGATTAAAAACATGAAAAGATTGTCAAAATATCTGTCGACGCCCAGTTGACGGTACACATACTTTGGAAATCCTGCAGTCGACCGAAATCTACACGTTGAAATCCATGTTGTTTACCAACCGGATGTCCAGTCCGTCACGCGATTTTGATTTGACTATGCATAGACTCGTTGGTCCAGCCAAAAGGTAACTCTATAATTCCAGCCTAGTTCGGCAAGGGCGGAAACTAGACTTTTATAATCAGTTATAGCCTTGCCGTGGGAACTGGACTCTATTTGTCAGTGAACGCCCTTAACTGATGCTACGATTTAAGATGTGCCTACAAAGCCCCAGGCAGCAAGATTTCAACCAGCTTACAACGGGCGCGGTGCAATGTTCGGGCTATTTTAGTTATGAGCAAAATATGTTCAGTTAATAAGTCCAGATTAATACATGTCCGGATAAACGCATGTCCGGTTTAAATACTTATGAGTAATGTCCCTTTGTGTGCATGTGTAGTCTTTCCTAACAAGATCTGCTCCCAACCCGGGGATGTCCAATCCTGCATGCTCAAGACATGTGTTCATTATCGAGAGGCCCGCCCAATTACAATCAGGATGTTGATGCCACGTCTTATTATTGTTCTAGATTTTTAGATACAATATCTATCTATCTGTGATTTTGTATTTATTGATTAATAGTATTATACTTGCACATGAAAACGCTAATACACGTATGCATGCACTTTTTTCAAACAACGCTGAATTAACTAAAGCGATATCAGTTTTATCTATGATCTTCTATTTTGTTCCTTATATACTTTTTAAGCTATGATATCTATTGTATATACTTTGTATAAGGGTAAAGATCAAAATGATGTACATCAAAGTCTATGCATATACTTAACATGTAAATATGTACATACAAACCTTGCTTGACTGAATATATAATAAACTCTCAATATTTTGCATATACTATTTCTTGTGTTGTTGAAGGAGTGCATGGACTGTCCTTTGGGCGGTGGTGCAGCCGAATGGATAACGCGGTCGCTCGTCTTGTCAAAAAAAATCGGGTTCGTCTCGTACATATACTCGGGTCCTCTGTGTGACGAACTAGCGCTTATCGCTGTAGGCAACACACATCGCCTTTATGAGTATTGAGTCGAGATTTGTGGATGTCAAGCACAAAGAGTTTGGTAATATTTAATATACCGTAACATTGTTACACACCCTGGTCTCTCTAATGCAGTATTTAGGCTCTGGAGGGATTGTTCAGTTCTACAAAGGTTAATATTTATTTGAAAATATCAAATTATATCTCGTATTATCAAAGACAAGATATTACGTTGATCGAAGAATGTATGAGACGATGTAACGTTATTGTCCCGACGGAATTATTATTGATACTATGGGTGATATCGGCACTTCTCTCGTCTCAAACTACGTATAAGGCGATATTATATAATTAAGGGTCATTATAACTTCAGCTTAACGAGGCTTCATTATCTGTTTTGGTTAAAATTGTCTCCTTCGTTAGGGCAATAAATGGTTGGGCAGGTTTTCTGCAAATGACAATGCCTAAAAAATTAGCGTTACTGTTATTTTGAAAAACATGAATTGTCGTATAAACAAGGAGGTGAGGTGAAATGGGGTTTAACGTCGCGTCCAAGATTATTGCACTCATATAGCGACGTGCATGCACGTGTGTGTGGGGCTGCTTGTACTAGTCCGGACTGATGCCGATTTATACTGCTAGCTCACTGAGATACCATGCCGCAGTTTAACATGAATACCCCACTCAGACACAGTATACTGACTCCGAGCCGACCAGTCCTTGTTTTAGCCCCTTAATGCCGAGGGCCAGACAGGTAACAACAAGTGCCATCTTTTAACGTCTTAAATTGCGCGGCCGGGGATCGAACCCCAGACCTTCCGCTCTCCGGGCGGACGCTCTACCACTAGACCACGGAGGCGGTCTATAAACAAGGAAAGCAAGTGACACTGCTCGTGACATAAGTATTTCCGTCCGTGTCCTGCATCAGCTGCAACTGATTATGTTCCTGTATTTGATTGCTGCATAGCTATCCCAGCATTTATGTGACTGGTCAGGGGCCCCACACCCACACCCACACCCACACCCACACCCACACCCACCCTCCCCCAAATTGGGAGCAAGAAGGCCTGGAAGCTAGAAGACCTACTAGGTCCAGGCTCTCCCTCGATACATATGGCATTACAGTTTGTGTGAGTGTTGTTTAACGCCGCAATCAGCACTCTTCCAGCTACAAGTATATGACCGCGGTCCGTAAATAATCGAGTCTGGACCAGAAAATCCAGTGATTGATATGAGCATCGATCCACGTAAATGGTATACGATGAACTGCATCAACCAAGTCATCAAAACTGACCACCCGATCCGTTCGTCGCCTCTTACGAAAAGCATAGTCGTCTTTTCAGGCAAGAATGGGTTGCTGAAGACCCATTCTCTGCCCGGATCATCACGGGTCGGAATGTAGAGACGGACAAACTGTTTTAATACAGTATTAACATATAACAATTAAGGTGCAGGCCACTCCTCCCAGAGTTGTGAGAGACGACAATGCTATGTACAACAATAACTAAAAAACGATAACTACTACAGGATGAATTGTTATCAGTGTCTAACACGTATAAGATAAAAAGTTACGAAAAAGGTCTTTGGCATTATTCCTTTATAAAGTGAACATTTTATGAATTTGTCTGTGATAAAATATCTTTGTAGGTTTTGAAAGTGAGCATCACTCAGTTAAAGTTGGATACGTACAGTGCTGTACAGTGGCTTTCATCTTCAGTATCTTCCTGTTTCCAATCTTAAGGAAACACCACCTCTGATGAGAACCAGCGCTAAACTATAACACGTGACATTCTTGGCTTCGTAATGTTTACATGAGTAGTCAGTGGTAAAATTGCAATATCGACTCAGCTCGTGCAGTCCTTATCTAATTTGTCCATTCCGCTTTAACTTCCTTTTATTCAGTCAGGAGTAGAATATGTCGCGTATTGTGACGTGTTGGTATTTCAAGTGCGTTTGCCCGCGCTCGTTTGCAGGCGGTGGTAGCCTAGTGGTTAAAGCGTTCGCAAGTCACGCAGAAGACCCGGGTTCGATTCCCGACATGGTATTAAGCCCATGCCTGGTGTCCCCAACCGGGATGTTGCTGGAATGTTGCTAAAAGCGGCGTAAAACTATACACACCCACACTCACTATTGTTTGCACCTTTCTGTTTCAGTTGTTCTTCCTTAAATCATGGCTCCTTTCTCTTTGACCGGGCATTAATTGGCTAAATTGTCAGCCACGTGACAACGACGGAACTTCTTTTTCCCCTTCCATACAACATGGTGATAAAACAATTTCCACGAAAAACGTGTGTCGCCAGCAAAATTCGAACCCATGAATTACTCACGGAAGGCTGACGAATGTATACGTAGTCATAGACAACATCTGTTAATTTCAATGGATAACATTTTGCGCCTATCAACAAAACAAATGAGTTTCCCGAGTGTCATCATTGTATATAGTGTTTTATCATCCAAACTGGCTCCCACAGGAGATATCGCTTGGGTGAGATCAAGCGATATCTACACTGTAGATATCGCTGCAATGAAATGGCATCCCAATGCTTTGCAGACCATTGTGACGTCATTGGTTACCATGACGTCACAATCAAATGACATCACTAAGTGGCTCTGCTACTGAAGCTGTTAGCAGTACTTTTTACGACACTGCTTATTACTGTCTACAAACTGAAAAAGTTGGAAGAATGATGTTGGATGATAAATAGAATCTCACCCTCGTGTCTTTTGAAATTAAATATATCAACGCTCGTTGATAAAAGTGGATAAAATCCTCGGCAAGCCTCGGAGTTTTCCCACTTTTATCAACTCGTGTTGATATATTTGATATCAAAAGACACTCGGTGAGATTCTCTATGTCTATGTGTCGATGTCTATACGTAATATTATGTGCACTATCCATGTACACTCATATTTCAAAAGGATCCGAATGACATTTTGACAATATTTTGTTGCAAAATTATGATGCAAATAACTTTCTATGTTACCAAACTTTTGAAAATACTATATCTACAACATCGTGCAAATCCGCCAACAATGGCAGTGGATGACTTTAAGTAACAAATGTTGTTGTTGTTCCCAGTAAATCCCATTGTAAACGTAAATACTAGTATCCTAATACTGATACACAAATTCATATTGTAAACTGTCATGACTAGGTTTGACAACATGGGGTGATATGGTCTCTTCACATGTTATAGTCAGTGCACTGAAAGATTTAGTGGCGACACGGGCGTGCATGTTATGAGCGTGCCCCTGTAACATGCATCCTTTAAAGCTACACTGTCCGAAGCGCTGCATGGTAAATTTGCTCACGTGAAGCACTGTCTTCATCAGCTGATGGACGTCAACAAATGCAACTTCAACTAGTAAAGTCTACTGACATGTTGGTGTTTTACATTTCCAAGTCGTCAATATCGTGTCGTCAAAACTGATTCAAATAAAATGCGTGGAACACTGCTAAGGAGGATGCATGTTAGTTTAAGTGTAAACCAAGAATAGCTCGATCTCGGATGCACAAAAGGAAACAGAAGGATGCAGAGATAAGGTCAAGAGTGCACTCGTCGTACTCCTCAACATTCCAGCATAATGATATGTTTTAAACATCGTCCCATGCCGATAATGACACGCAATCAACCCTCCCTCACTCATTCATTCACTCACTCACTCACTCACTCACTCACTCCTTTTCTCCACACTACATGTTTTGTCAAACTTTTAAAGCAACTAACTCACTATGTGAAGATTCAAATCTGACCTTTAGAATCAGCCCACGTGGTGTTTGTGACGAGTGTCCCAGGAAGTGATATGTATCTTAGTCTGCAACGTAATTGAGTCACAATCCAACCACACAGTCGCAAGGGAACACAGTCTGACGGAAGGACATGCATGTCTTCACCATGAATTTGTCATGTACGTAGTAGTGTGTGGTCTGTACGCACGAGACTGGTGGATCTGTAAAACATTTAACGAAGTCAGATATTTGATTGTTATGCTTCTAGAGAAAAGGCAATATCAGATTCTTTAAATTGCGTCTTTGTGATGTTGTGTGCTGAACTTGACGGTACATACAGGTGTACAAGTAGTACTTTTCCATTTTTTTACCATCTTCGGATTTACATTGTCTGGTACATGCATACATTGCTTCTTTGAATTGTGTAAACCTGAACATGAGAGTGGCTTGTGGCATGCCTGCTATCTCTTACGACTTGGTGCACTGCAGAGGGCGAGGTTTCAGTCTACTCGTGTGTATGTTTTTCCTATCGGTGGCAGCAGGCGTATATGCCACTTGGGAGGACACTGGACGTGTAGATGAGGTGATCACAGACACCAACACAGGGCACGTGTACACGGCGGGGGAGAAGGGGATCCGTCATTGGTCTGAAAATCTCACTTTCATCGCCGGTGTTGGTTGGGGCGATGCAGACGACTGCGTTGGTGACGCTGGAGGTAATGTGACAGCGATGGCGTTACAGCCTGGCTCCCCTCGACTTCTGGCCTGCTCCACGGCCTGTGGGGGTCTCTGTGCTGTGTACAATACGTCTAATATCACCCAGAGGTTGTGGATGAACAATGGAACTAACCACAGTTACATCAACACCCGTTCTGTTCTGGTGTTCCTTGACAATGTAACGTTGCTAGTAGCATCATCAACCTCGGACCAGCCGACGCCCGTCGTCCCCGTGTTGTCGTACCGACATTTGTCTCTCCCAGATCAAGGCCAACCTAGTATGAACATCAGTGACAACACCGAGTCTGTCATGTCAAGAAAACCAGAAAGCAACTACGCCATACATTTTATATCAAGCTTCACCAAGAACAATTTCACATATTTCCTTACAACCCAGAGAGAAACGTCAAGCATGAACGTCACCACCCGACTCATTAGGTTTTGCACAAGTTATGAGTCTTTGTTCCCCCTCATGGACTTTCTCCTGGATTGTCGGACCAAGGACCTGACCTTATACAACATCGGACTAGACATGGCGGATACCGGAAGCTCCATCACTGTCAGTTTTGGAAGAAATACAAACCAATCCGACTTTCAGCAAGATCCCTCTCGTGGATCAGCGTTGTGCCAGTACACATTTGAGGATATCAGAAACGACAGCAGAAAACATCTTTCTCTTTTAACAACACCAAGCGAACCATGGCAAGATGGAAAAATCGAAAACGTAAGTGTATACCTTTGTCATCTTTTCATAGGAGCTTGATAAATAAGAATTGACCTTCTCTTTGTGTGAGTTCATTGGAGTATGAACCTTCATGGAGTGAGGGCCAAACTGTATGAACGTCGGAGTTTGCGACGACGTTCATAAAATGTCTGGCCCTCACTCTATGAAGGTTCATAATCCTATGAACTCACACAAAGTGAAAGTCAATTCTTATATTTTTTTTATCACAATTTCTCCCCTCAAAGGATGTAGGCCAAGATCTAAACACAATTTCATTTAGTAATGTGACTTTATGTTTACACTGACAGCCATACAACAACCAGCTATATCGCGGAGTAAAATAGTTCCTCAAAAAGAGAGGTGACAAGGGCGTATGGATGCACAACTTGCTCTTCAGAAACATTTTACGCAGCACATGTGTTCAATTTATATCCTCACTGGATGAGAAAGGTCTGTAAAAAACTACCTCTGTAAGTCTGTCACAATGGCAGCGCGTCGTAATACATTTACAACAAGTACAAGACGTCAAAATGGCCGACACGATAAACGTGACGGGAGAGATTTCCGAAGTTGTTAATGAACCTGTGGCGGTTACATGTGTTAGTCATCATTGATCAACTGGCCGATCATTGAAAGGTGAATAAAGATGTGTCAAACAGACACTAAGGTAAATTCATAGATTGCTGAAGACGGTCAATGTCAGCCTAGACACGGATGGAGTCGATACTACGATAGTTTGGGTGTGCATTTCTTTGCTTGTTCATTAGGATAGGCCGCAGCGAGGATATTCGTGAATAATCATGCAGTCACGCTCTCTGACATTTCTCAATGTATACCGAAACGCTGAGACCAAGAATAAAGGTTCTTAATGATCAGAAAGAACGCGTATGTATGTTTTCGTGCAAGGGAATTCCCAGGGGTTTCCCCGGGAATGTGGAAGTCGTCCTTCAGTGTTTACGTCATTTCAAGAACACGATCTCGTGAAAAACGTATGAACGTCAAATTGTGTCGTTCATACACTTATGAACGTCAATTTCGCGGTCATGTGACCGACCTCTCGTCCAATGGAAAAGCCGTTTATCGTGTAAACTTCAAATTAAAAAATATTTACAATTACACACCAACGCAGGCATAGAACGTGTCTTGCTTGCCTTGGCTGATGCCAAACGTTAACTGTCCAAGCTGTAACAAGAAGTACATATCTTCAAGCTAACAATAATCTATTGAGTCAACCTAAATGAAAGGCAGGGGCATATACCCGCGAGTGGCCCGTTCTAATCCACTCCACTGTCATTGTCATCCAAGCTACATGCTCGAATATAAGTATTAAATGTAAAGAGCCAACAGACAGTATTTAACGCGCATTCACCGCACAGAATGGTACAGGATCAGTGCACAGCTGTCAATCAATCCGGTAGTTCCGCAATCTTTAAACAGTCACTGTTCATATTTAATCCTTTCAATAATTAGGAGATAAACATACTGGGTTTTTTTAAATGTAGAGCTAGGTTACCTGTAGATTTAACCCCGCTAAATTGAATTTGGAACCGAACGCGCAGCGTGAGGTTTCAAATGTTAAATTTAGCGCGGTTAAATCTACAGGTAACCTAGCTCTACATTGAAAACACTGTATGTTTATCTCCATTCTACCATGACTAAATAAAACGCGAACTCTTTGGTGTTAGCAAATATACTGTGAAACGGCATGGGTTCAGTTCAGTGTTTTGAGTGGGTTATCGATCTGAATTACGGAATCACCGAACAAAATATGGTGCTGTATATACTCAAGCAGTTTGTTTACACCGTTATACTTCACTCGAACATATGACAGGCATTGAAAGCATATAAGCACGGCAACTTGGTAAGCTAACATGAGGTGGGCATCCCTAAAGAAAACAAAGCAAGCTTTGCAAGGCTTTCGCTCTACATTGCGCATCACCAGTATGACGTCATATCGCTCATTGTGACGCAAAAAATATGACGTCACAGTCGTATATAGAAAAGCGCCAAAATTCCAAGCTCTCTGTTGTCTCCAAAACGTAAATACATTCCCTTTGTTGATTTCTGTCGTGTTTTCTGCACGTAATGTTTTGCCACACATCCTTTGAATATTGTAGTAACCGCATCTGTGCATTTCGTAACCTGTAATTGTAGATATAATTATTTAAATATGCCTAGCGACAATGACTGAAAATAGTACTATTCTGTGAATATTAGCTTCCGTGGTGATGCGGCCGTCAAACCAGCTGTTTCAATCAGAGGGGGTTTATTGAGATTTAATAGCCTCTGATTGACCAATCAGAATCGAGTAAATTCCAAATTCATTTGTTTGCCTCGGAAACAATTTTGAAATTAGTTACACACATGTGAGCGAACATCTCTACTCTGCATTAAATATATTTTAACAGTCAAGCCTAATGTTTATGCGCATATATGGCTTGGGGGCTTTGGTGTACACAGATTTCAGAAAGAGAAAAAATGCATTTGATGGCAGATAATATATTTCTCCGAGTTGGTCTCCGAACACCTAAAGGTATAGTCAAAATCAAGTGTGGAAAGATATGCTCTTAATATAAACGTTGTATGTCGAACTTTAAAAAAAATTGGTTTAAACACGATTTGCACGAAGGCCGTATTCCAAGAAAAGTATACCATATGATTATGTACCATGACAATCTTGGCAATAACAAATACGTTATCTCTTATGCGTCACATATTTTTGACGTTTCGGTGTAGATCCTAACATGATCACTTGCTTGATAAAGGTGTTAGGATCTACACCGAAACGTCGCACTAATTGCCATTAAGAAGTTGTTCATCCTAAGGACGCGACTTACTTCATCACACCAACTTCTAAATGCCACTGAAAGAAGTTATACGATTAGCAATGGTCTACATGCGGCTTATCTCAATGCCCGACGGCCACATGTTGTTCCGCCGCTTACAAATGGTCATATTGCCAACAAACGTCAATGGTTTACACGACGTCCAAACTGGGGTAATCGTCGCTGGTCATGTGTCATGATTTGCAATGAGTCCTGATTCACCTTGCACTTCTTTGACAGGCATGGTCGTGTCTGGCCACTTCGAAATGAACGTCGAGCAATTGTAAACCTCAGACCTCATGACAGATTTGGCGGTGGATCGGTTATGGTGTGGGGCATTACTATGCATATTGTGCAAAGAAGGGTCTCTGGACAGTAGTATCGGGAAAACATACTGACACACTTTGTTGTTCCTTTCGCAAGGCGTTTTGTTTCTCAGGACGACAACGCCCGTGCTCATCGTGCACGAATCATCGATGCTAACCTCCAGGAACGCAACATTCATAGAATAAAATGGCCATCAATGAGCCCAGACCTTCTCCAATTGAACAAAACTGTCTTGGACATGAAAGGGAGACGTGTGCGTCAACGTCAGAGGCCGCCGGCTACGTTGGTACAGACTCCCTCTAATCGGCATTGGGGGACTCATACGACGTATACCTCGTCGAGTGAATGAATGTTTGACAAATCATGGCGGTATTACGCACTACTGATCCAAACACGTCAACTCTGAAGGTTCCCATCTTTCCCCTATCGTCCTTAAAGATCGTGGCGGTCATAACATCTACTGTCATACGTCACTACCGGTTGTAATGTGTTCCCAATTCGTTCATTATTATCATACAGCTATAACTACAAACTAACATCTCTTACGATTTTGGAAATTTGGAGATCTCGACGACCAGGGAAAGCCGTTGATGTTGGCATTATGAAGGTAGTTTACCGTGACATGAGCTGTGGGCGGTGGAGCGTTGTACTGTTGAAACAGCTCCCTCTGGCGGTCAATGATTAGAAGAAGGTGAGGTTGAAGAACTTGATTCATGTAGCGATTTGCTGTCAAATTGCGATGACGAAGGTGGAACAGTCGAATGTAGCGATCCTGTGCAGTGGTCGTAACTCGTGGTCGGCCGGTTCTTGGACGGTCTGCAGTGGAATTGACCTGTGTATATCGGTCCCAAAGGGGGCAAATGGTGCTGTGTTGGACGTTGAAGTTGCGTGCAAGAGAAGACTGCGATTCCCATCTATGGATATGCCCTATGGCGATGTTCCGACCGGCAGCGTTGAGTCTCGGCATTTTCGAACTTGAAAAATGTTGACAATTGAATGACAAATTATTGGCTTCTGTTTGCCTTTTAATAGCCACTACCACGAGTTGCGAATGCCATAACTTGCATGTGCACTTTGCTTTACTGTTTTCCTCCCTGACATATTTGAAAAAGTATGAAAACAATGCCGTTTAAGACATTGCAAATAGACAATTGCTGCGTTTTGACGCACCCTTTGTCAAATATCAGGCCACCAACATTTTCCAATAACATATATCCAATTTATATATCGGATTTTTTGTGTAGTCAGGTTCAATGAACTACATTCTACCTGTGCGTTTCTTTTTTTAAAGAGTGTATTTCTAAGTTCCAAAATGTATAAATGTTTATATTGATTTTGGAAATGTACATTGGCCTTTGGCCTGCATAAACACGAAATACACTAAAAACTAAATATATAGAGGTTATCACGCGAGTGTGTTTGGGGATGGTAAATATCCTGCATTAGGAATAAACATTGTATTTAGCGAGCCTTGGCGAGCTAAATACATAGTGTTTATTCCTAATACAGGATATTTACCATCCCCAAACACACAAGCGTGATAACCTCTTTATCATATAATGTCATTCTTTAATTCTGTGCTTTAAAATCGCTTTCCCTCTCTCACAAACATTACCGAAACATTGCGAGTTTTCCTGGAATGCGCGCATTCATATTTATTACGTCACAGGGTAAGTGATGTGTCAGTCGGACAATGACAGTAGCCAATATAGTTCCAACTAAAATCTGTTTCTTATACAGTGGTGAAGCAACATATACGCAAAACAACAGTTGTTTTTTCTTGCCTTTCGCGGCAATTCATCGGTCTGTCCGCTAGAGTTACTGCCCTTTGTCAAAGGGAAGCTACTCTAACCCTAGTCTATGAGACGTCACGGCCACGGTCAGACGATGTTGATAGTCGGTCTGTCCTGTCATAACGTTTAGAAATGTAGTCAGATGTACACACAGCGACAAAACGAAACAAAGTAACAATTCAAACATATTTCGGCCAAATCCAACTATTTTAATTTGTGGAAAAGAATTCAAGCCGCAGAGGGCTACAAGCACAGATATGGCTACTGATCCCGCTTGGCTAGGCCTCGGGTCGTGCCCTCGCAAAATTGTTTCGAAATCTCCAAAGTTGCCAAAACTTATAAAATGCCTTAGCTACGTCACAGTTAGACACTTAATTTCAGTATATTAGACTGTTTTGTTTTATAATGATAGCAATTATACCTGTAGTTTATTCAGATTCCCGATGGTTAATTCTGACTCGATCGCCGAATGACGAGGGCGACGCCATGTTTGTTTATAAACAGTGAAAGTAGTCCTACTTGACCTTTGATATTTGCATCTCTATCCGCATATGACCCCAACGGATATCGTTTTTATCCGTTGGCTTTATCCTGCCGAGAAACCTACCTATTATATGATAAATTTCAAATATCTGAAAAATAGATGTTCCAAGGCTGTTTCATAGCCCATATGTAGATTTCACTGTGTTGAATAAACGTTTGTTTTCCGTTAAACGCCGAATTCAGCATTATTTCAGCTATATGACGGCGGTCTGTAAATAATCGAATCTGGACCAGACAATCAAGTGATCGATAATATTGACAACGATCAATCTCTTCCAGATAGGTTGTCACGCAATCAACCAAGTCACCGAGCCGGACCAGGGGTTCCATTAAGTCGCTTCTTACAACCAGTTTATATAGTTTCTGGTGAACTAATTCTGAAGAATATCACCTAAATGGATAATACCAAACCGCGGATCCAAAAATATAAATCTTATGACTCAAAACGGTCCATGGCACATTATAGGGTTTGGGCCTGTCATGCACAAATCGCTATTTAGCTTTATAACGGGTTGTCTCATGTTTCGGTCGCTGCGATAAAATTTCCCATGATGGGATTTGAACCACGGACCCTTTGATCCTTGGTGGAACGCCTTGTCCACATGACCAAAAAGGTTAACCCCTTCAGCAAGCTGACAACGTAGGGATATTATCTGTGTGATATATTTTGGTCTGTCTTGTATGTAATCATCGACCTTACAAAAACCAGCAAAAAGCCACAACGCGACAATGTGACAAGTGGCCAAAATGTGGCGTTGTCGCGTTGTCGTATTGTCGCATTGTCGCGCTTTGGTTAATTTTGACACTTTTTGCTTGTTTTCGTAAGGTTGACAATTAACAATGCGACAACGTCCCTTCTGGAATTCAATTGTCTTTAAGTATATTTCGTTCATCGTGTTACATTTCGTATTCATTTAGTTACGGTCATCTACCTTGTAAGGGTTTATAAAGATAACGACAAAATATATGTGTGAGTGAGGAAGAGAAGGGTATTAATATAAATATCTTTATTAAAATCAAATCAGATATTTTTGCAGGAACAATGTCAGCCGTGTCAACGATTTGAGTGTCATCGAACGTTCAAGATAAAGGAAGATTTGAAAATCTTTAACGATTATGCTTACCGAAGCAACACGACTTTGATCACGACAGTGCTGCAAAGTAAAGACGACACCGTCAACGTTGGTACTTCCACTGGACAAGTGTTACAATTTCATGTACGTGACTTCCTTGTTGATCTGTGTATAGTAGCATTGGTGTCTGTAGGACTACGTGACATCCTTGTTGATCTGTATGTAGTTGTATTGATGTCGGTGGGACTAAGTAAGTGACTTCCTTGTTGATCTGTATGTAGTATTGATGTGTGTAGGACAAAGTAAGTGACTTCCTTGTTGATCTGTATGTAGTATTGCTGTGTGTAGGATAAAGTAAGTGACTTCCTTGTTGATCTGTTTGTAGTAGTATTGATGTATGTAGGTCCAAGTAAGTGACTTCCTTGTTAATCAGTATGTAGTATGGATGTCTGTATGACAAAATAAGTGACTTCCTTGTTGATCTGTGTGTAGTATTGATGTGTGTAGGACAAAGTAAGTGACTTCCTTGTTGATCTGTCTGTAGTAGTATTGATGTATGCAGGTCCAAGTAAGTGACTTCCTTGTTCATCTGTATGTAGTATTGATGTCTGTAGGATAAAGTAAAAGACTTCCTTGTTGATCTGTATGTAGTTGTATTGGTGTCTGTAGGACAAAATAAGTGACTTCCTTGTTGATCTGTATGTAGTACTGATGTCTATAGGAATACGTACGTGACTTCCTTGTTGATCTGTATGTAGTATAGATGTATGTAGGACAAAGTAAGTGACTTCCTTGTTGATCTGTATGTAGTAGTATTGATGTCTATAGGACTACGTACGTGACTTCCTTGTTGACCTGCATGTAGTAGTATTGATGTATGTAGGACTAAGTAAGTGACTTCCTTGTTGACCTGCATGTAGTAGTATTGATGTATGTAGGACAAAGTAAGTGACTTCCTTGTTGATCTGTATGTAGTAGTATGGATGTCTGTAGGACTAGGTAAGTGACTTCCTTATTGATCTGTATGCAGTAGTATTGATGTCTGTAGGACTAAGTAAGTGACTTCCTTGTTGACCTGCATGTAGTAGTATTGATGTATGTAGGACAAAGTAAGTGACTTCCTTGTTGATCTGTTTGTAGTTGTATTGATGTCTGTAGGACAAAATAAGTGACTTCCTTGTTGACCTGTTTGTAGTAGTATTGATGTATATAGGACTAAGTAAGTGACTTCCTTGTTGATCTGTATGTAGTAGTATGGATGTCTGTAGGACTAACTAAGTGACTTCCTTGTTGATCTGTATGTAGTAGTATTGATGTCTAAAGGACTACGTACGTGACTTCCTTGTTGACCTGCATGTAGTAGTATTGATGTATGTAGGACTAAGTAAGTGACTTCCTTGTTGACCTGCATGTAGTAGTATTGATGTATGTAGGACTAAGTAAGTGACTTCCTTGTTGACCTGCATGTAGTAGTATTGATGTATGTAGGACAAAGTAAGTGACTTCCTTGTTCATCTGTATGTAGTATTGATGTCTGTAGGATAAAGTAAAAGACTTCCTTGTTGATCTGTATGTAGTTGTATTGGTGTCTGTAGGACAAAATAAGTGACTTCCTTGTTGATCTGTATGTAGTACTGATGTCTATAGGAATACGTACGTGACTTCCTTGTTGATCTGTATGTAGTATAGATGTATGTAGGACAAAGTAAGTGACTTCCTTGTTGATCTGTATGTAGTAGTATTGATGTCTATAGGACTACGTACGTGACTTCCTTGTTGACCTGCATGTAGTAGTATTGATGTATGTAGGACTAAGTAAGTGACTTCCTTGTTGACCTGCATGTAGTAGTATTGATGTATGTAGGACAAAGTAAGTGACTTCCTTGTTGATCTGTATGTAGTAGTATGGATGTCTGTAGGACTAGGTAAGTGACTTCCTTATTGATCTGTATGCAGTAGTATTGATGTCTGTAGGACTAAGTAAGTGACTTCCTTGTTGACCTGCATGTAGTAGTATTGATGTATGTAGGACAAAGTAAGTGACTTCCTTGTTGATCTGTTTGTAGTTGTATTGATGTCTGTAGGACAAAATAAGTGACTTCCTTGTTGACCTGTTTGTAGTAGTATTGATGTATATAGGACTAAGTAAGTGACTTCCTTGTTGATCTGTATGTAGTAGTATGGATGTCTGTAGGACTAACTAAGTGACTTCCTTGTTGATCTGTATGTAGTAGTATTGATGTCTAAAGGACTACGTACGTGACTTCCTTGTTGACCTGCATGTAGTAGTATTGATGTATATAGGACTAAGTAAGTGACTTCCTTGTTGACCTGCATGTAGTAGTATTGATGTATGTAGGACTAAGTAAGTGACTTCCTTGTTGACCTGCATGTAGTAGTATTGATGTATGTAGGACAAAGTAAGTGTCTTCCTTGTTGATCTGTATGAAGTTGTATTGATGTCTGTAGGACTAAGTAAGTGACTCCTTGTTGATCTGTTTGTAGTAGTATTGATGTGTGTAGGACTAACTAAGTGACTTCCTTGTTGACCTGTTTGTAGTAGTATTGATGTCTGTAGGACTAAGTAAGTAACTTCCTTGTTGATCTGTTAGTAGTTGTATTGATGTCTGTACGACAAAATAAGTGACTTCCTTGTTGATCTGTATGTAGTTGTATAGATGTCTGTAGGACTATGTAAATGACTTCTTTGTTGAACTGTTTGTAGTTGTATTGAGTCTGTAGGACAAAATAAGTGACTTCCTTGTTGACCTGTTTGTAGTAGTATTGATGTATATAGGACTAAGTAAGTGACTTCCTTGTTGATCTGTATGTAGTAGTATGGATGTCTGTAGGACTAACTAAGTGACTTCCTTGTTGATCTGTATGTAGTAGTATTGATGTCTATAGGACTACGTACGTGACTTCTTTGTTGACCTGCATGTAGTAGTATTGATGTATGTAGGACTAAGTAAGTGACTTCCTTGTTGACCTGCATGTAGTAGTATTGATGTATGTAGGACTAAGTAAGTGACTTCCTTGTTGATCTGTATGTAGTAGTATGGATGTCTGTAGGACTAGGTAAGTGACTTCCTTGTTGATCTGTATGTAGTAGTATTGATGTATGTAGGACTAAGTAAGTGACTTCCTTGTTGATCTGTATGTAGTATGGATGTCTGTATGACAAAATAAGTGACTTCCTTGTTGATCTGTATGTAGTATTGATGTCTGTAGGACAAAGTAAGTGGCTTCCGTGTTGATCTGTATGTAGTACTGATGTCTATAGGAATACGTACGTGACTTCCTTGTTGATCTGTATGTAATATAGATGCATGTAGGACAAAATAAGTGACTTCCTTGTTGATCTGTATGTAGTATTGGTGTCTGAAGGACAAAGTAAGTGACTTCCTTGTTGATCTGTATGTAGTTTTCATGTCTACAGGACTACGTACGTGACTTCCTTGTTGATCTGTTTGTAGTAGTATTGATGTCTGTAGGACTAAGTAAGTGACTTCCTTGTTGATCTGTATGTAGTAGTATTGATGTGTGTAGGACTAAGTAAGTGACTTCCTTGTTGATCTGTTTGTAGTAGTATTGATGTGTGTAGGACTAACTAAGTGACTTCCTTTTTGACCTGTTTGTAGTAGTATCGATTTCTATAGGGCTAAGTAAGTGACTTTCTTGTTCACCTGTATGTAGTAGTATAGATGTCTTTAGAGCTAATAAAGTGACTTCCTTGTTGACTTGTTTGTAGTATGAATGTCTATAGGACTAATTAAGTGACTTCCTTGTTTATCTGTATGTAGTATTGATTTCTATAGGACTAAGTCTGTGACTTCCTTGTTAATATGTATGTAGTTGTATTGATGTCTGTAGGTCCAAGTAAGTGACTTCCTTGTTGATCTGTATGTAGTATTGATTTCGATAGGACTTAGTAAGTGACTTCCTTGTTAATCTGTATGTAGTTGTATTGATGTCTGTAGGTCCAAGTAAGTGACTTCCTTGTTGATCTGTATGTAGTAGTATAGATGTCTGTAGGAGTAAGTAAGTGACTTCCTTGTTGATCTGTATGTAGTAGTATGGATGTCTGTAGGACTAACTAAGTGACTTTCTTGTTGATCTGTATGTAGTAGTATTGATGTCTATAGGACTACGTACGTGACTTCCTTGTTGACCTGCATGTAGTAGTATTGATGTATGTAGGACTAAGTAAGTGACTTCCTTGTTGACCTGCATGTAGTAGTATTGATGTATGTAGGACTAAGTAAGTGACTTCCTTGTTGATCTGTATGTAGTAGTATGGATGTCTGTAGGACTAGGTAAGTGACTTCCTTGTTGATCTGTATGTAGTAGTATTGATGTATGTAGGACTAAGTAAGTGACTTCCTTGTTGATCTGTATGTAGTATGGATGTCTGTATGACAAAATAAGTGACTTCCTTGTTGATCTGTATGTAGTATTGATGTCTGTAGGACAAAGTAAGTGGCTTCCGTGTTGATCTGTATGTAGTACTGATGTCTATAGGAATACGTACGTGACTTCCTTGTTGATCTGTATGTAATATAGATGCATGTAGGACAAAATAAGTGACTTCCTTGTTGATCTGTATGTAGTATTGGTGTCTGAAGGACAAAGTAAGTGACTTCCTTGTTGATCTGTATGTAGTTTTCATGTCTACAGGACTACGTACGTGACTTCCTTGTTGATCTGTTTGTAGTAGTATTGATGTCTGTAGGACTAAGTAAGTGACTTCCTTGTTGATCTGTATGTAGTAGTATTGATGTGTGTAGGACTAAGTAAGTGACTTCCTTGTTGATCTGTTTGTAGTAGTATTGATGTGTGTAGGACTAACTAAGTGACTTCCTTTTTGACCTGTTTGTAGTAGTATCGATTTCTATAGGGCTAAGTAAGTGACTTTCTTGTTCACCTGTATGTAGTAGTATAGATGTCTTTAGAGCTAATAAAGTGACTTCCTTGTTGACTTGTTTGTAGTATGAATGTCTATAGGACTAATTAAGTGACTTCCTTGTTGATCTGTATGTAGTATTGATTTCGATAGGACTTAGTAAGTGACTTCCTTGTTAATCTGTATGTAGTTGTATTGATGTCTGTAGGTCCAAGTAAGTGACTTCCTTGTTGATCTGTATGTAGTAGTATAGATGTCTGTAGGAGTAAGTAAGTGACTTCCTTGTTGATCTGTATGTAGTAGTATTGATGTCTGTAGGTCCAAGTAAGTGACTTCCTTGTTGATCTGTACCTAGTATAGATATGTGTAGGACCAAGTAAGTGACTTCCTTTTTGACCTGTATGTAGTATCGATTTTTGTAGGACTAAGTGACTTCCTTGTTGATCTGTATGTAGTATTAATATGTGTATGACCAAGTAAGTGACTTCCCTATTGATCTCAATGTCGTGTTATTGATGTATGTAGGACCAAGTAAGTGACTTCCCTATTGATCTCAATGTCGTGTTATTGATGTGTGTAAGACCAAGTAAGTGACTTCCCTATTGATCTCAATGTCGCGTTATTGATGTATGTAGGACCAAGTAAGTGACTTCCCTATTGATCTCAATGTCGTGTTATTGATGCATGTGTGTAGGACCAAGTAAGTGACTTCTCAATTGATCTCAATGTCGTGTTATGGATGTGTGTAAGACCAAGTAAGTGACTTCCCTATTGATCTCAATGTCGTGTTATTGATGTGTGTAGGACCAAGTAAGTGACTGTGTGTGAAGTAGTATTGGTGACTGTAGTACTATGTTCGTGAGTTGTTTATCTCTTTTCAAGTAGTCGGAATATGTATTGGTCCTATCAGGTTTGAAGCCTTAACATTACAATGTATTACCTTGCGGACTGCGTGTTGAACTTAAAATGTTCATCACATTTGACATTGGTGAGGATTTCAACATCATCACTGAGAAGCAAACACATTGAAGGTACTGTTAATCAAGTGATATGTTAGAAAATACATTGCCAAGATCTCCATAATAACATTCATCTCTCATTACATTTTAGCCTTCTCACTATTACACAATTCTTACTCAATTTGCTGTTACAGACCGGTGTTGATGGGAACCTTTGTCTGAGCAGCAACATCAGCGTCAGCAGTGACAGTTCCCCTACACGCCGTGTCGTCGTCCGAGACAGCAGCAACACCTTGCATCTCTTTACCATCGGCAGCAACACGGCGAGTGTTTTCTCATGATATCTTAACAATGTATGACCCTTTCCACACACACAAACATAAGACGACATTAAACAGATATTTAACGATGTGACAGTGCGGCAATGATACACACATATAGTACTTCTACAACCATCATATTGTGAATCTGGCAATTCAGCATATATAACCAGATCTCACCAATGGGATGCTTATTAATTAACCATGTGACAGTGGCACTGCACCAAAGCTTGGCACTAACCAGCATCATGGCAGTGCGATATTGATGCATTGACCATGGCACTGCATTATTTATACGACATGGTATTATGTCAGTGAATCAAAAAAACAACGCAGATTTTAGAATTGTGTCGTAATTATAAATGTTTTATGTGTACTGTGTATGACCTAAGGTCTTGCAATAGCGGAAACGTTGACATATTTGATGCCAGATTACTCGGTACAGCCAAATCAAACGCACCACTTTACAGAGACATGGGCTGAAAAATAGTCATTAAACTTACTGGCATGACGGGGGCACGGGTGGCCCAGTCGTCTAAGGCGCCGCGATTCGCTGTGCAGAGTTGCGTCCCTTGGGCACGCCAGAAACCTATGATTGTGGGTTCGAATCCCGGTTCGCCCCGATTATGTTTCTAGGTTTGTCAGCACCATACCCGTGCTCGTGGGTTTCACCGAAGTGGTAAACGTCTGAGACCTGCATCACTTCGGGCTTTCCTCCCACATTAAGCTGACACGCCGCGATATAACTGGAATACTGTTAAAAGCGGCGTTAAACCCAACTCACTCACTCACTACTGGCATGACTGTCATCCCAAGAGTACAGGGAAACATCAAGCAAACGTCAACGCAACAACCATTTATCACCCGTGGAAACGTCTACAGTCCTATTTCCTTGATTCTATATGTCTTCTTTGACGAGTTGGTTTCTCATTGACGTTAACATTATGAGGTGTACCATACAGTGTGACCGTTCTTCCATTAAGTAACGTGTAGGGCCTCCCTGAAAAACCTTTACTCATTCATGTCGAATCAACCCAGGAAGTTTTTTCCTTGAACTTGTAGCTTCGTGGTTAAAGCGTCCGCACGCCGAAGGTAGATTCTCTACATGGGTACAATGTGTGAAGCCCATTCCTGGTATCCCCTGCCTTGATATTGCTAAAAGCGGCGTAAAACCAAACTCACTCTCGCATTCCACACCCCGTCTCCAGGCTTGTTGACACCTTCCATGTAAAGGCAGGACAATGGAGTAATCGTTGTTCCCGCTGGGTCTTTTCTCGTCCACAATGTGTCCTTCACCTATCGAAGAAGTCGATTGAATATAACTATTGTCTGAATGAATGTTCCCGAACACTTGCACATTTCAAACAAAATTCACATTCACCAGAAAATTATGTAACATAAGAAAGATATTTTTTATTAGTGTGTGTCTTCGCACGATTTTTTAAAATTCACTTGAAACATTGTGTTAAAATATATGCTCGTACAGAGATACCTTAATATCTTTTTGTCCTGGAAGACGCATGGTTGTGTTGAGCTCCGCGGAAAGTAACGCGATCATTCACTGTTGATAATAGGGCCGGACGGTTCTTGACCAGGCTCTGCCAACTCTTCCAGTTATGTTTGTTCTTGTTGCATCTGAACATGGAATCTTTGATGTGAAACACCCTGCCTCTACGATGGGAAGGAACAAACTGCAAATGTACTTTACATCAGCCATGTCATTGCTTGATTAGTCTGTTCCTACCTGTAGCACATTATTGCTCACCAACTGAATTTTGTTTGAGACGACCCCTCATGTTATCAAAACTTACATAAGCCTTAAAGGATGCCGCAGGTCGCTTTGGTGAGTCTGAGACTTGTTGTGTTGTCTTAAAAGTCGAAAGGTCGTGAGACGCCACCGTTAATAACTATTCATGAACTGTCGTCAACAAGTTCCAAGCATGCTAAAGTTACTAAAATATAATAAAAAAAAGAGAGAGGTGTGTTCTTAGAAGTGGCTATATAGATAATAGTTACTCACCATGAAACTCAAGTGTCTGCATACTCATTATTCAAGCATGCATTTAAAGATTAAGTAAAGAGTGGCACATGCTTCACCTCATGTGTCGATCGGTCCAGATCACTATTGTACCTTTTACTATATGATGTCACAGGGCGGTCGGGTAGCCTAGTGGTTAAAGCGTTCGCTCGTCACGCCGAAGACCCGGGTTCGATTCCCGACATGGGTAAAATGTCTGAAGCCCATATCTGGTGTCCTCCGCCGTGATATTGCTGGAATATTGCTAAAAGCGGCGTAAAACCATACTCACCAATGTCACGATACAACTTACATAATTTTATTCAATGAATCTGGATCGGTCAATAGGCTTATGTCAATACCTCTCCAGTACAAGTTATATACATGAAGACATGTAACAAAATAATACATTATGATCAACTAAATATAGAATACTAAACGAGCTCCCGTGTAATACCAATTTTATGAAACGAGTGAATAGTTGTGGTATCTGACGAGCGAAAGCGAGTCAGATACCACAACTATTCACGAGTTTCATAAATTTGGTTTTACACGGGAGCGAGTTTAGTATTTTATTTATTACTTGCAATTTATAACGTTTTTTGAATTATACTGTTGAGTATGAATAGGCTGACACCTACATGATCCACGATATAGTCCAATTGAGTTTAACAGAATAATACTTCAAACACGTCAAAAGTTGAAACGTATGAATTTCATACCATACAACGGGTCTACCTTTAGAATTCACAACATTATCGTAGGGCTAAGACTTTCGCATCTCACATACTTTAACTTAGACCAACGACTGCCGTTGGGCTACAATACGATCGCCTTGTGGAACGAGCCTTGCACCTCAAAGTTTTCAATAACGTCACAATACCCGATGACGTAATTTGTGGAATTTTGTTGCAAGATCCATCGGCGAAACAATGCCATGTGACGTCAGCCTAGCAACAAGGTTGCTGGGGTCATCGAGTGTGCATAAGCTCCTCTCAGTGATCTATGAACTCTACACGCAATGTCGTTGAATAAGCCAAGGGATGTTGAGAGCTTTCAATATTTGTTCGTGAAACGTGTTCCGAGAGTACATAAGCACGCGTTTTGGTATTACACAATGTGTAATAAAGCTGTATGTTTATTAAACGGGTGATCTCTTCACGGGCAAGTAATAAATACATTTACAAGAGCATGAGGTCATGGACAACAGTTTGGCGTAGTGAGTAGAAAAAATAATGTATAAGCGGGATCTATAGTCAGTCTCACGTTAGTTTAAACCTTTTGAAATGAAGTATGTATGAATGTACTGATTTTAAAATAACTGGATTAGTAGTTATTTGTAAAATCAGTATTACCATTCAATAAAGTGTTAAGATAAACTCCCTCAGAGTAGAAGAATGAATCTTGTCGTACATCATTAAAAAAGGGACAGGAAATGAAATAGTGTGATACATTTTCATACATGTATCTACAAAAATATGCTGTATTGTCAGAAATGTGTCTTCCATATCGATGGGAATTTAGATCACTACAATCAAGTCTAAGAGAGAAGGTACAATCTGACAAAATCTACTTCCCTGACCTTCAATGATTGTTTCGCCAGGGTTTATCACTTTTCTATATTTCTCATCACATTCGGTGATACATCTGTGACGCTGGAGTTGATTTAAGTGCTCCGGCCAAGTCGGACGAACGCTTGTGAAAGGGATCGTGTTGAGTGTATAGGGGAAACAAGTCCTTCACACTAACCAATGTGTTTGCTTTGAATACGACAAACTGTGAAACATAAAGTGGCATGTAAGTAGATGTAATTGTGAGTTTTAGTTCTTTTAATCGCTCGGGACAAGTAGGACCGAACAAGGATCAAACACTTTTCAGTGGGACCATGTTGAGAGTAGAGAGAATAATGGCTTCACTTTAAAGAACGAGTTCGTTTAACATACGGTGTACTGGGACATTATAACAAGTGCGTTCAGGTGGACATAATATTATTACATAATAATCTAAGATGCATTTGTGATGTTTTAGTTGCTTTTAATCGCCTAAGTCAAGATTTACCGAACACTTACCACACACTTGTGATAGCGACCCTGTTAAGAATGAGGAGGAAAATTTACTTCACTTTTACGAACGAGTTCGTTATAAATACGATTTGCTATTCTAAAATAATAATTGGGTAAGTTAAATAATGTCCTACAGGTCTTTTAACGTTTCATGTTACTTCAGTTTTGTTTTCACTGATTTTGACCGCCCGGTTCAAGGCTGCCGGAACACTTGAAATACATATTATTGTGGTGAGATGAGAGACATTACTTCCTTTAACTAGAATCTAATGACTACGCAGCTGGCTATATCATAGGGGAAATGTGTTTGAAGCAAACATCTGTAATACTATGCCTGCGTTTCAACCTACATGTACTTCATTACAGGATCCAATAGGTCAAATACATAAGCATATGAAATCCTGATTACGTCGATGACAAAAGGAATAGATATATACTGAAAAATGCGTTTCGCAAGTCGCTAAACACTTCATTACAGGATCTAATAGGTCAAATACATAAGCATATGAAATCCTGATTACGTCGATGACAAAAGGATTAGATGCATACTGAAAAATGCGTTTCGGAAGTCGCTAAACACATTCTCCTTTGAATAGGAACCTTGAACTTTTTGACCCGGAAGAGATTTGTAAATTCTAGCTTCTCTGTAACACTATCCCTCTACGTGTGCCGTATTTCATGACAGGATCTAAATTGGCAAATACATGAATCTGATGGAATCTTAGACATTAAATCCCTGGCAACAGTAATGGATTCATTCGTAGAGAGGAATGCGTTTCACAATTCTCAAAAGATATTGTCCTTTGAAATGGAACCTTGAACTGTTCGACTCGGAAGGAATTTGTAAATAATTGTGTCCTATATTTCCAGGTGAAGGAGGTTGACATCTGTGAAGGCAGTCGCTGCCAGGAATGTAGACGTATCAGTCGTTGTAGTTGGTGCAAGAAGTGTGTATCCAGTGAGGCATGCGGAGGAAGCACGTGTAAAGTCCAGGTACTCAGATGGAGCTCAGTACGACCTGCATGTATTAACATCGAACACATATTAATCCGCTTACAAATAACTACACAATAAGTGTTACAATTCCGTAATGATAATGTACACCCCAGTCCGAGTTCAGATATACACATTGTTTTACATATTATTAACATCGTGGACATGTAAAATCGCATATAAATAATCACACACTACATACAATCCCTTATTACATGTGTACATTCCAGTCCGACTTCAGATATACCCATTGTTTTATCAGAGCCGGAGATTAATTAGAACTCAAGCGTCGTAATTCACTGCACAAAGTGAATATATTAAATTATGAATGGGTGACAACACAAACAAATATAAGGGAACACGACTTGAACAACGCCAGTGCCACACATATTTGTTTTGCTACAGAACTGGTATCCAAAGAAAGGTCCGGAGTCTGGGGGAACAGTCATCACGTTTGAGGGATGTGGACTCAATGAGACAGACAATAAAGTAACAGTAGCTGGGAGAGAATGTGAACTGAAGGACAGGAGGTAAATCAGCTTCAGTGGACTACATTATTACTCAGATGGAGATACGTGCAAGATCAGTAACGATTAATTATCACAATCAACAGTCTCATCTGGCACAGTTTGCATGATTCTGTGTCTGAAAGCCAGCCTCAGTAACAATCAATTATATGGACCATATTGTCAAGCAGGACTTATATGGTCGTTTCTTTGGAACTCAATACAACCTGAGACATCCATGCCATAACACTGCATGAACTACGTCCTTCAACACTGTATTATGACGTCGATGTCCGTGCAGGTCTCTGCAACCTAGAAATGACTCCTTGTGATTAATGCCATGTGAGTTTCGGAACGATTCTGATTTGACAAACATCAACGACTATAACTCACTTAAACTATCATGCTATTCATGTCCCCCATTTACATTGCAGTTTGACCAGGAGACGGTGTAAGCTTAGGAAAAGGGGACCCAACGATAAAAAGGCTGGTGCCACAACTGATGTGAGCGTTACGTTTCCTGGCTGCTCACTTGGCAATTTTACAATCACGTCAGACCCAGTCATTACAGATGTATTCCCGACAACATCCATACAGAGGTATGCGCTGTTTATACATATCTCAGCATTATCGACGCTAATGTGTTAAGAATACATGTCTTTGATATGTCCAGAGACCATATAATAGATTTAGAAATTCGTTATTCCGCAATATCCAGCTACGTTATTAAGGGATGCATCCAATTTATTGAAATCCCAAATTGTTAATTACTTAATCTGTTTTAAATGTGCAGCCACCTACTTTATTACACAGACTGTGTAGAAATGGAACAGCAACATGGAACCTGTTTGTTGGATATGCCGACAGTATAAAACAGCAATAAAACTCAAGGGGAGCAACTCTTGACTACTCCTCGGACAATAGCTCCCGAGCGCACCCCCATGTGTACGTCGGTGTGAATATGTATGTGCGTGCCTGTGTATATGTGTGCGTGTATGCATGCGTGTGCGTGCGTGCGTGTGTGCGTGTGAGTGTGAGAGAGACACAGAGTGATTAGCCAGGAGATGTAAACGAATCAAAACGACGAAATAGTACAAATGGATCTGGTGTCACAAAACATGACATCTTGTGTCATATATATTTTTTTAATTCGGCCATTACATACATCACTTATGTATCTGATCATACCAAAGTTTAAATATTAAGTGTACGAAGGAAAAAGGGCTAATTGTCAGCCATTTGAATATATGTCCGATAATTTTAATACAAACATCTCAAAGTTTCTGCAACTTTCATAATTTGACAATTCTTGTGGGAAGAAAAGGTTTCGTAACCTCATTCGTCGGTTGTTGTGTGGAAGGTAATACATCATGTCAGTGTGGCAGCAAGTTCATTGGTTAATAACTAATGTATGACTTGCAGTGGAGGTCTGACGATCACAGTCGTGGGGGAGAACTTTGACGCTGTAGAACAGCCGCGGATTGAAATGACTGTGCGTAACAGGACGAGGTTGGCGGTGAGTGATATGTTCATCTTTGCGTTCATCTATCACTGTCTGAAACATACATATATATGTAATTTACCACGGTGCATGTACAAATGTACGTCAATATGTAACCATGTGTTCATGTATCACTGTGTATATACATATGTATGTCAGTGTGTAACCTTGTGTTCACCTATCACTGTATATATACATATGTATGTCAGTGTGTAACCATGTGTTCACCTATCACTGTATATATACATATGTATGTCAATATGTAACCTTGTGTTCACCTATCATTGTATATATACATATGTATGTCAGTGTGTAACCATGTGTTCACCTATCACTGTATATATACATATGTATGTCAGTGTGTAAACATGTGTTCATCTATCACTGTATATATACATATGTATGTCAGCGTGTAACCTTGTGTTCACCTATCACTGTATATATACATATGTATGTCAGTGTGTAAACATGTGTTCACCTATCACTGTATATATACATATGTATGTCAGCGTGTAACCTTGTGTTCACCTATCACTGTATATATACATATGTATGTCAGCGTGTAACCTTGTGTTCACCTAACACTGTATATATACATATGTATGTCAGTGTGTAACCATGTGTTCATCTATCACTGTACATATACATATGTATGTCAGTGTGTGCCCATGTGTTCATCTATCACTGTGTATATGCATAAATAAGTATGTCAGTGTGTGACCATGTGTTCATTAATCCCTGTATATATACATAAATATGTATGTCAGTGTGTGACCATGTGTTCAACTATCACTGTGTATATACATATGTATGTCAGCGTGTGCCTATGGGTTCATCTATCACTGTGTATATATACATATGTATGTCAGTGTGTGACCATGTGTTCATCTATCACTGTGTATATGGATATGTATGTCAGTGTGTGACCATGTGTTCATCTATCACTGTATACATACATATGTATGTCAGTTTGTAACCATGTGTTTATCTGCCACAGTGTATATACATATGTATGTCAGCGGGTGCCTATGTGTTCATCTATCACTGTGTATATGCATATGTATGTCAGTGTGTGACCATGTGTTCATATAGCACTGTATATATACATATGTATGTCAGTGTGTAACCATGTGTTCATCTAGCACTGTATATATACATATATATGTCAGTGTGTAACCATGTGTTCATCTATCACTGTGTATATGCATATGTATGTCAGTGTGTGACCATGTGTTCATCTAGCACTGTATATATACATATGTATGTCAGCGTGTAACCTTGTGTTCACCTATCACTGTATATATACATATGTATGTCAGTGTGTAACCTTGTGTTCATCTATCACTGTATATATACATATGTATGTCAGTGTGTGCCCATGTGTTCATCTATCACTGTGTATATGCATAAATATGTATGTCAGTGTGTGACCATGTGTTCATTAATACCTGTATATATACATAAATATGTATGTCAGTGTGTGACCATGTGTTCAACTATCACTGTGTATATACATATGTATGTCAGTGTGTAACCATGTGTTCATCTATCACAGTGCATATACATATGTATGTCAGCGTGTAACCTTGTGTTCACTTATCACTGTATATATACATATGTATGTCAGCGTGTGCCCATGTGTTCATCTATCACTGTGTATATGCATATGTATGTCAGTGTGTGCCCATGTGTTCATCTAGCACTGTATATATATATATGTATGTCAGTGTGTAACCATGTGTTCATCTAGCACTGTATATATACATATGTATGTCAGTGTGTTACCATGTGTTCATCTATCACTGTGTATATACATATGCATGTCAGTGTGTGACCATGTGTTCATCTATCACTGTGTATATACATATATATGTCAGTGTGTTACCATGTGTTCATCTATCACAGTGTATATACATATGTATGTCAGTGTGTGACCATGTGTTCATCTATCACAGTGTATATACATATGTATGTCAGTGTGTTACCATGTGTTCATCTATCACTGTGTATATACATATGTATGTCAGTGTGACCATGTGTTCATGTATCACTGTGTATATACATATGTATGTCAGTGTGTAACCATGTGTTCATCTATCACAGTGTATATACATATGTTTGTCAGTGGGTAACCTTGTGTTCATCTATCACAGTGTATATACATATGTATGTCAGTGGGTAACAATGTGTTCATCTATCACAGTGTATATACATATGTATGTCAGTGTGTAACCATGTGTTCATCTATTACTGTGTATATACATATGTATGTCAGTGGGTAAACTTGTGTTCATCTATCACAGTGTATATACATACGTTTGTCAGTGTGTGACCATGTGTTCATCTATCACTGTATATATACATATGTATGTCAGTGTGTGACCATGTGTTCATCTATCACTGTATATATACATATGCATGTCAGTGTGTGACCATGTGTTCATCTTTCACTGTGTATATACATATATATGTCAGTGTGTGACCATGTGTTCATCTATCACAGTGTATATACATATGTATGTCAGTGTGTGACATGTGTTCATCTAGCACAGTGTATATACATATGTATGTCAGCGTGTAAGCATGTGTTCATCTATCACAGTGTATATACATATGTATGTCAGTGTGTAACCATGTGTTCATCTATCACAGTGTATATACATATGTATGTCAGCGTGTAACCATTTGTTCATCTATCACAGTGTATATACATATGTTTGTCAGTGTGTAACCATGTGTTCACCTATCACTGTGTATATACATATGTATGTCAGTGTGTAACCATGTGTTCATCTATCACTGTGTATATACATATATATGTCAGTGTGTGCCCATGTGTTCATCTATTACAGTGTATATACATACGTTTGTCAGTGTGTGACCATGTGTTCATCTATCACTGTGTATATACATATGTAGGTCAGTGTGTAACCATGTGTTCATCTATCACTGTGTATATACATATATATGTCAGTGTTTGACCATGTGTTCATCTATCACTGTGTATATACATATATATGTCAGTGTGTGCCCATGTGTTCATCTATTACAGTGTATATACATACGTTTGTCAGTGTGTGACCATGTGTTCATCTATCACTGTGTATATACATATGTAGGTCAGTGTGTAACCATGTGTTCATCTATCACTGTGTATATACGTACGTTTGTCAGTGTGTGACCATGTGTTCATCTATCACTGTGTATATACATATGTATGTCAGTGTGTGACCATGTGTTCATCTATCACAGTATATATACATATGCATGTCAGTGTGTGACCATGTGTTCATCTATCACTGTGTATATACATATATATGTCAGTGTGTGACCATGTGTTCTTCTATCACAGTGTATATACATATGTATGTCAGTGTGTGACCATGTGTTGATCTATCACTGTGTATATACATATGTATGTCAGTGTGTGACCATGTGTTCATCTATCACAGTGTATATACATATGTATGTCAGTGTGTGACCATGTGTTCACCTATCACAGTGTATATACATATATATGTCAGTGTGTGCCCATGTGTTCATCTATCACAGTGTATATACATATGTATGTCAGCGTGTAACCATGTGTTCATCTATCACTGTATATATACATATGTATGTCAGTATGTGACCATGTGTTCATCTATCACAGTGTATATACATATGTATGTCAGCGTGTAACCATGTGTTCATCTATCACAGTGTATATACATATGTATGTCAGTGTGTAACCATGTGTTCACCTATCACTGTGTATATACATATATATGTCAGTGTTTGACCATGTGTTCATCTATCACAGTGTATATACATATATATGTCAGTGTTTGACCATGTGTTCATCTATCACTGTGTATATACATATATATGTCAGTGTGTAACCATGTGTTCATCTATTACAGTGTATATACATACGTTTGTCAGTGTGTGACCATGTGTTCATCTATCACTGTGGATATACATATGTATGTCAGTGTGTAACCATGTGTTCATCTATCACTGTGTATATACATACGTTTGTCAGTGTGTGACCATGTGTTCATCTATCACTGTGTATATACATATGTATGTCAGTGTGTAACCATGTGTTCACCTATCACTGTGTATATATATATATGTCAGTGTGTAACCATGTGTTCATCTATCACAGTGTATATACATATATATGTCAGTGTGTGACCATGTGTTCATCTATCACTGTGTATATACATATGTATGTCAGTGTGTGCCCATGTGTTCATCTATTACAGTGTATATACATACGTTTGTCAGTGTGTGACCATGTGTTCATCTATCACTGTGTATATACATATGTATGTCAGTGTGTAACCATGTGTTCATCTATCACAGTGTATATACATACGTTTGTCAGCGTGTAACCATGTGTTCATCTATCACTGTATATATACATATGTATGTCAGTGTGTGACCATGTGTTCATCTATCACAGTGTATATACATATGTATGTCAGTGTTTGACCATGTGTTCATCTATCACAGTGTATATACATATGTATGTCAGTGTGTAACCATGTGTTCACCTATCACTGTGTATATACATATGTATGTCAGTGTTTGACCATGTGTTCATCTATCACTGTGTATATACATATATATGTCAGTGTGTGCCCATGTGTTCATCTATTACAGTGTATATACATACGTTTGTCAGTGTGTGACCATGTGTTCATCTATCACTGTGTATATACATATGTATGTCAGTGTGTAACCATGTGTTCATCTATCACTGTGTATATACGTACGTTTGTCAGTGTGTGACCATGTGTTCATCTATCACTGTGTATATACATATGTATGTCAGTGTGTAACCATGTGTTCACCTATCACTGTGTATATATATATATGTCAGTGTGTAACCATGTGTTCATCTATCACTGTGTATATACATATATATGTCAGTGTGTGACCATGTGTTCATCTATCACTGTGTATATACATATGTATGTCAGTGTGTGCCCATGCGTTCATCTATTACAGTGTATATACATACGTTTGTCAGTGTGTGACCATGTGTTCATCTATCACTGTGTATATACATATGTATTTCAGTGTGTAACCATGTGTTCATCTATCACAGTGTATATACATACGTTTGTCAGTGTGTGCCCATGTGTTCATCTATCACAGTGTATATACATACGTTTGTCAGTGTGTAACCATTTGTTCATCTTTCACTGTGTATATACATATATATGTCAGTGTGTGCCCATGTGTTCATCTATTACAGTGTATATACATACGTTTGTCAGTGTGTGACCATGTGTTCATCTATCACTGTGTATATACATATGTATGTCAGTGTGTAACCATGTGTTCATCTATCACAGTGTATATACATACGTTTGTCAGTGTGTGACTATGTGTTCATCTATCACAGTGTATATACATACGTTTGTCAGTGTGTAACCATGTGTTCATCTATCACTGTGTATATACATATATATGTCAGTGTGTGCCCATGTGTTCATCTATTACAGTGTATATACATACGTTTGTCAGTGTGTGACCATGTGTTCATCTATCACTGATATCAATGTGTCAGTTTGTATGTTGTATGTGGGTCTTTGTTACAGAATTGTACCAGAACTAACAAAATTACAGGAGACAAAGTATTTTGTTTGACGCCATCGTTCACACTGGAAGATCGAAATGAAACAACTGGCAATCTTTCTGTTATAATGGACGGAGTGGTAGCACATTACAACATTACAATTTATCCAGATCCAACCTTGGTGTTCACGCCAACGTCTTTGGAGGTCGGGGAAGGAGATATGTTGCACATACTAGTAAGTCTCATATACCAGGTTAGTACAATAATCAGCATATGCACCAGTTAAACAGACCGGAAGGTGTGATGTTTTGTATATGCTCAAGTTAAACATACCGGTAGATGTGATATTCAGTATATATACCAGGTAATCATACCGGCAGATGTGATATTCAGTATGTGCACTAGTTAAACATACCGACAGATGTGATATTCAGTATATGCACCAGTTAAACAGACCGGTAGATGTGATATTCAGATTATGCACCAGTTAAACATACCGGTAGATGTGATATTCAGTATATGCACCAGTTAAACAGACCGGTAGATGTGATGTTCAGTATATGCACAAGTTAAACAGACCGGTAGATGTGATATTCAGTATATGCACCAGTTAAACAGACCGGTAGATGTGATATTCAGTATATATATACAAGGTAAACATACCGGTAGATGTGATATTCAGTATATACACCAATTAAAGTTACCGGTTTTAAAATGTGCAGCATATACACCAGGTAAACATTCCAGTAATTGTGATATGCAGCATATACACCAATTAAATATACCAGTAAGTATAATAAGCAGTGTATGCCCCAGCTAAACATCGCAGGCACTAAGATATGCAGTATATGCACTAGGTAAGCAGGATATACCTCTTTGACATCTAGTTTTGTCCACATAAAAAAAAAATTAATTCCTCCAATGTGAGGCTCAGAACTTTTCAGTCTACCATGTACACCAGTGTAACAGAAGGATATGCTGCAAATGCAGCAGTTACACAGTATCAGTGAAGGTCAATGAGGTGTTTTAGGATTAAATAGTTACAGGTGTTATTGAGTATTAACCTTCTGCATTTTGCCACTAATCAGGTTATACGACGAAGCAGTAATAGTCGTGTGATGTCTTCTGTTTAGGCTACCCTCGATGGCGTCAGTGAAACAGATGTTCGAGTAGAAATCGGCCCGAACAATTGTTCCAATGTTCATTTCAATGGCACGCTGATCACTTGTACGCCTGTGTGGATGACACATACCAAAACGCCCCAGAATATCACGGTATAGTATAAGTATATGGAAATAAATACTAGACCCGAACATGTGTTTACATCAGTCAATCAATCAATGGCTCCGGTAGATATACGTTTATGATCAGTAATGAGATACCTGTACAGAAAACATAAAAGATTTGAACTTCTTGTGATAGCTTACAAAACACTTTTTGTTTTTGATAAAAATATCGAAAATTCATGGTCATCAGGTAAATCTTGTATATAATAGTTACAATTTATATAATTAAATCGTGAGAAAAAATCTTTGTTATTTCCAATTTTCGTACCCTGTCAATGAAGGCGCGTCCCCTAGGCATCCTTGTGATGGTGGAGGGAGGGGGCACATATGACCCAGTCTTTTAGGGCATCGCAATTTCCTGTGAAGTTGCGTCTCTAGAGCACCCCAGAAACCCGTGACTGTGGGTTCGAATCCCGGTTCGACTCGTTTATGCTTCGAGATTTGTCAGCACCATAGTGCTCGTTGGTTTCACGAACCTGACTCAGTAACTGTTGAAACTTCTCTATATATTTATCTATATGTAGATACAATCATCATATGTGCATGTGTGTATTTTAAATCTTTCCCTCCAACCACACCAGGTTAAAGTAGGCAACAACCTGAGTCTGTATGCTGGACAGATCATGTTTGTAACACGGAGGTCGCCTTCTTACCACAACATTATCATCGGGAGCGTGGCAACAGTCGCAGTCATCGCCATCATCGTTGTCGCTGTAGCCGCCGTCTGTATCAAGCAGTACAAATCAGCTCTGCATCATCCGCTGCAGTCGGAACTGGCGTCAACCACAGAACATGGTATGTTATTATTTTCGCACTATCTCTGCAAAAAGCAGGGTTACTTGTAGAATTCCGACTTTATCATGAAAATGTGTTTATGAAGAACCATCAAATAGTGATTATACCAGGTGTTCACGAAAGGGTGAGCGCATCCTGCCCCAACTGTAGGTAGCTCGCGTCACCAACACATGCAAAGGCAAGACCATCGTTGACCTGAAAAAGCATGGGAACGTATGGCACAAGTTAAATTATGGAATTGCATCGGGCATCATTTGTCACTGATGCATCATATTTGGAAATGCTTTCCACCTGCCTATCAGCATTGGTGAGACCTGGAATGTTGTAACCTTGATCAATCAACTTCTGCGCAAGATTCACATGGCGTTCTTTGATATCTTGGTAGTAGAGTATGCTCGATTGTATCTCAAGGGTTGAGACATGTAAACACCAAATGCTGTACCTGCAGGAATATTGATCGATATGAAGGGACAGTTTACAATGGGAAGTTGAAGTCATTGTCTTGTGGAGAGTCGTTTTGTCACTCTGAATCTTTATGCATTGACCTAAATATGAAACAGATGAGGCGGTCTCATGGTCTCCTTTATTTCTAGCTTCTAGGATAGGATATTCCAGTTACATCAAGATGTGACAGTAGATGTGGATATCAATCACTGGTTTGTTTGGTTCAGACTCGATTATTAACACTCGTCCGTCATATACCTGAGTGCGGTTAAACAACAAAGAAACAAATCATGTCAATGGCTTTTATTCTTTGTTTTTCCAAATTGCGTTCTCTTTAACCGTAAAAATAGACATATTATCATTGCCTTTGTAGCGACCAAAAAATCTCCGAGTACCGTGATGGGATTCGAACCACGCGCCTTCTGATCCGAGATCGAACGCCTTGCCCTCATGGCAAGCCGATAATGTAAGGAAGTCATCTGTGGGATGACTCCGGGCCCTGCTACTCTTTTCATCACTCTGTATGCATTTTGTTACAGGACTTAATGCGTACTTCCTATTGGAACCCAGAGTTCAGAAGCCGTTGTCCAAGGAACTGCTGCAACGTATTGAGCAGAGCAAGGTCATTGTGCCCGCATCAAGGCTGAAGCTAGGAGCTACGATTGGCTCAGGTAGTACCGACATTCTATTCTATCTGCATTTACTGTGGTTGTAGGCCACACTCCGTCGCAGTAGTGACTCAGCATAACACCACTGCCACAGGCTAATTTGCATATCACGTGACCGGACTTTTCTCTTGTTTGTAAACAAACACGCTTTTTCAGAAATCAGTATAGAACGGACTAATGTAAGTATTTGGGGGCGCTTTACATATTGTTTTGCATAACTATATAGATATGCTACTACAACTGTGACAGTGAGTTGTATGACAATATATATTTAGGCATCAAAGTGACCGTGTCGCTAGCTCTCCGTTGCGCTTCGATGACAGCACGTGGAGCCGTACAACCAATGTAAACATAGGATAACTACGCAAAAACAAGTAGATTTTTACGCATTTGCATACTTTCTCAATGAAAGTTAACCATTCTTTGACATTTGTTTATGAAAATGTGTAGACTTGTCAAACATGAAACGGATGAAAAGCATAATAATATTATGCAATATCTCGAATGGACTGTGAAAGATGTGACGAATCGTCACATGGCGCTGGCCTGTGGCAGAGGTACTATGCTAGCTGGCTGCCGGCCGCATGGCACTCTGGGTAGGAGAGTGGTTGTAGGTGCAACCATGTAAATTTGATATGTCATGTTTCATTCCATTTGCACGTCATGTTTGAAAGACAAAATGCACGTGACAGCTGAGCGATTTATGTGATTCGAGTTTGAAATGATCTTTTTCATTCATCCAGTTAATATGAACACAGAGAAGCCAGTGACATTGTTGGAAATGATGTATGGTATCTATGTACGTATGACTTTCTCCTTCGCTATTGCAGGTAACTTCGGCTGTGTGTACGCAGGCATGTTGTACCCAGAGTCTGGGGAAGAAGAAGGGGCTGAGAAAGTCGCCATCAAAACAATGCTGGGTAGGGCCTGGCCTTCTGAATATTTGTAGTGTTTCCCTATTACGATCCAATAGTTATTGGTTCTATATATGTAAGGGAACTGGCTGGGGGGTAGATTAGGTGTGGGGTCATTGTAATGTCTTTCAGTAACATTTGTGGTTTTAGATTGTATGGAGCTGATAGAGACACTGCCCAGTTTCGTGACTCATGACCGAGGCTAGATGTATATCATTAGGGTAGGGCCTGGCCTTCTAATAGATAAGATAAGATAAGATAAGACTTTATTAACCCAACGGACATTCACATTGCACAGTTGATCAAATCTAAAATATGCACACACAAAAAAGAAGAAAATATAATGATATTAAAATATGTACATAAGAAAATAAGACAGAATAATATACTGGTAACCATAGCCTGCCTAATGCACACAATGGGCAGATGCACAGATCGGGTGTAACATATAAATCACAGCAATTTTAAAAGGGATAAAGGCAGGATAAGATTTATTTACAGCGAACCATTATAAGGGTAACGCTATTTTTCAGGGCATTATCATTTTCAGAAGCCCGAGGTCGTCCATTAACTGCCCTACGAAGGCGGGCAGTTGAAATGATCGAGGGCTTCTGCAAATGATAATGCCCTGAAAAATAGCGTTACCGTTATTATAGCTAAAATGGATAGAATTTGTTAGGCCAGGTTCACACAGTGCCGATTATGGCTCCCGTTTGAGATCAGACAGCGCTACGACACGAAAAGTGAAAAAGGCCGATAACTATCCTCAATGATCTTGAATGTCCTATCATTGTCTGAACGCAGTCGTATGCGTTCGTAACGGTGTCCTACGGATCGGGAAAGGTCCAGAGAGTGAGTGAGTGAGTATGGTTTTACGCCGCTTTTAGCAATATTCCAGCAATATCACGGCGGGGGACACCAGAAATGGGCTTCACACATTGTACCCATGTCGGGAATCGAACCCGGGTCTTCGGCGTGACGAGCGAACGCTTTAACCACTAGGCTACCCGACCGCCCCTCCAGAGAGGTCGGCGTCTATGGTCTATAGTATGGTGCGTCCCGTAACATTCTGGAAACGATTTTGTCTAGTCGGATTACAATCTTGACTATGTCCTGACAGATTCTGCTGTATCGTATCAAAATCGTAACAATGTCCTGTGTTTGTCTGAACGGTGTCCTTTGGATCGGGGCGCTGTCGTGATGGACAGGCATGAATTTTTCATTTGTCGTTTCTTGTCGATTAAATCCAAATTGCGTCCAGATCCTGCCGAATGCGAACCGTCTTTGTCGATTCACTGTCCGGTCACTGTCTGATCTCTGTCGGATCGCATTCGGGAGAATCGGGACGCTGTCGGGACAGATTCGGTCTTTTTTTACCATGCGGGAGATACAAATCGGATCAGATTCGGAATGAGAACGGAAGAATCAGGACGAATTCGACTGGAAACGCCTGAATCGGGACGCTTCCTGGACAATATCTGCTTGTTTGTGAATTTCCCGCCACGAATCACAGGATCTTGATCAGACTTTTGACAAATTTTATTCGGGAATGGTCCTATCAAGTACGCCAGTAAAATCCTGAAAGTGTGACTGAGCCCTTATCCAATAAAAATAAACAAGAATTTCGGTTTCGAAACATTTACTGCAATCAACACGAATTTCACTGACCCACTTTTACGAATATGAAAACGTCATAGAACAAACTAGATGACGTCGCTATTGAACGTGACGTCACCTTATACTATCCCAATGACGTCACCTAATAATGGCCAATCATCAAGTAATATGAGGGCGTTATCAAGTTACAGTGGCCCGCTCATTTCCGATAACATGAGGGCGGTTTAATGATAATTCTATCCATTTTAGCTATAATAAATAGTATTAAACAGATAATATTTTAAAAGACTAATACTATAAGGATAACGCTATTTTTCAGGGCATTATCATTTGCAGAAGCCCGAGGTTTTCCATTAACTTCCCGACGAAGGAGGGCAGTTGAAAAGACCGAGGGCTTCTGCATATGATAATGCCCTGAAAAATAGCGTTATCGTTATTATAGCTAAAATGGGTGGAATTTGTTATCAAATAAAACGAAACAACAACATCGGTTTTGAAACATCTACTGCAATCAACACGAATGTCACTGACCTCATTTTACAAACATGGAAACGTCATAGAACAAACCAGATGACGTCACTATAATACGTGACGTTACTTTCTCTACCCTATGACGTCACCTCACAACGGGCTTGATAATGGCCCGTCGTCAAGCAATATGAGGGCATTATCAAGTTACAGTGGCCCGCTCATTTCTGATAACGTGCGGGCGGTTTAATGATAATTCTCTCCATTTTAGCTATAATGGCTGGTATGAAGGATTTCCAGGCCCTGTATGTTTTCAGCATCGGCATGCGCAGTCGGCGGCCAAAAGGTAGTAACTGATATTTGGAATGCAGTATATGACTTCTGTCACTTAATGTCTTACGCGCCTTTTTGACAGTTTTTGCAGCTCATAAATGTCGCCGATGTGTTGAAATTGCGTACCAGAGATTTTTATTTGCTGTATTTAAAGTTCTATGTATTTAAGATTTATTTTGAACAGGTAGGCCCCCATACTAGCAGTTGACATTAAAAACTAAAATTATTTGAATAAGTGTTCTATAAAACAGAGAATATCATACTATAAAGTTAAAATACCTAAGACGCTGTAAGAAATAATCGCTTTTAGTATTTAATAAATATGCTCCGTGTTTACATTTCATGTGTGTTTTGAATCAATAATGGTGACAAGGTATTTATAATGTTAAACCAAATCAATATTTTCGTTATCAAAATCAGCCAGGGGAATTTCAGTCTTCATTTTTTCTAAAATGTGCAATCATTTCCTTTGTCTGTTTAACATTTAGACTAGCAGGAAGAACATACTAAAGTCAACAAACAAAATTCGCACAAATGATTTGGAAGGTTCAAGATGTTTGTAGATATTATTTAACAGTGTAAGCGTGGCATCCTCTACTCCTCTCCCGGCTCTTTAGGCGAACTGACGTGGGTCAAGTTAATGCTCTGTCTGTCTTAGGTATGGATTTCAAAGCAAACGGTCGGTAATCGTTATTTATAGGATTTGGAATTTATGAAACTGGGAACATTAGATGCCCTCCAAAGTATAGTAAAGAATAAATTTTTTATCGATAGATATTTGAAATATTCTTTTGAAAAGACCGAGTTGAACACGAAATTCCTTCAACACCATACCTCATAGATCATCAAGACCAGCAGCTTTGGGGACATTTATTTTAGAGAATGATTGTAAAACATCACATGAAGTTACGTCAAGCGTTTCGCAATCCAATTAAACATTTCTGAACAAGTTTCTTTCTTTCCTGAAGTCTGTAGTGTCTAAACGAGCGTAGAACATATTCAACTCATTGGCAAAGCTCAAAGTTAGCTGCAACACGTATTTCAGCTCGTTTTTACTAATGTTCCAATTATTGTCGTAACGCCCTTCCAAGCCCGTCAAAGATCACACTGTCTTTCAGTTACTGACTTGTATTTAATTTTACATTTCTCCGTGATCTTTCTTTCTGGACAGATTTGATCTTCAACTTGTTCTCGGCACAATTTTTTTTTTTTATTTATGTATTTTTTTTAAATTATTTCCATATAGACTGACTTGAGTTCTTTTGTAATTGTTAGGATCACAATGAATGTCAATTCGTTCTAGATCAAAAGTACAATTCACATTTCCATTTCCATCTCCATTCTCATTCTCATTCTCATCCTCATTCTGGGCGCTCGGGTAGCCTGGTGGTTAAAGCGTTCGCTCGTCACGCCAGGGACCCGGGTTCGATTCCCGACATGGGTACAATGTGTGAAGCCCATTTCTGGTGTCCCCCGCCGTGATATTGCTGGAATATTGCTAAAAGCGGCGTAAAACCGTACTCACTCACTCACTCATCCTCATTCTCATTCTCATTCTCATCATCAATTATCAATAAATACCCTCTTTTGAATTGGAAGATTGACTGCAAAGGAAAAGTAAACAATCATAAGTTTGCAGTTAAATATGTAAACAAAACAATAACAATGTATGACAATTACGAAAACAACAAAAGTTGAAAAAAGACATTAAATTGTGACAAAATAATTGCAAGAGCATTTGCACAGAAAGAATGTATACATTAGTGATTGAAAACTGAACACATTATCATTGCTTCAGAAAAGTTACAAATACAACATTTTGGGAAATAAAATGGCTACAGAAATATATTGACAATGGAAAAGAAATACAAATGCATGACAACATACCATTTTGGTAGCACATATTCTTTTCTAACTTTTACTTCTTGCTTTTTTGTTACTGACCACATGGGTCCTCATTCTCTCCTTCCAGAAACTAAAAAGCATGCATGGTTAAACAGAGTAACCTTCCTTGGCTAAACTCCTGAAGCAGGCATAAAATAAAAATCCTTTACATGCTAAATTGGGAATGAAAATTTAAACAATTTTTAATTTGGAAAAATAAATAGAAATTATTATAATTATTATTATAACAGTAATCCACGGTTTTTTGTTCAGAAAGATCTTGATGGTATTTGAAGACTGAACTGACTGAACTGACTGAACTGACCTGAACTTTATTACTTTGAGGCTGTGGTCCACGGCATCAGAATAAAATATACAATACAGGTACAATATGCGATGGCTTTCAAGTGAGTGAGTGAGTGGGTTTAACGCCGCTTTTAACTGTATTCCAGTCATATCACGGCGTGTCAGCTTAATGTGGGAGGAAAGCCCGAAGTGATGCAGGTCTCAGACGTTTATCACTTCGGTGAAACCCACGAGCACGGGTATGGTGCTGACAAACCTAGAAACATAATTGGGGCGAACCGGGATTCGAACCCACAATCATAGGTTTCTGGCGTGCCCAAGGGACGCAACTCTGCACAGCGAATCGCGGCGCCTTAGACGACTGGGCCACCCGTGCCCCCGCGATGGCATTCAAAGGACAGGGAGAGTTGCAACAAAACAAATAATAGTTCATACAAGTTATATGTTAGCATGTTATCTAAATTTTTGCACAATAACTAAACAAAAGTTACTTAATTTGTTTAACAGTCCTGGCAAGACAAAATTCGGAATGATGGGATATTTGCGATATTAACATAATGGAATGCAGATATTTTTTCTGTTCTTTTAAAATGGACAGATTAAAATAAAATGAGAGCATCACCGAAGTCTCTTGTATCATACAGTGAACCTAATCTATTTTAATAGTATTTTGTTCCATTTGCCTTTTTTAATTTATAGTCGTTGGTTTGATGTTCGAAAATGACATATTGGCGTTCCATATTATTTATCTAAATTTTAATATATTAATATTTCAAAATATGAATCAGATTTAATTAACTTATTTGAAGTAGATTATGAAGTATTTTGTAGTTCATTCATTTAGATATTGATAATGTAATCTTGTGGAAAATACCATTCTCTGGCGAGAAGGTAGTAAAATCCTTTTGGGAATTGTCATATATTACTGAAATTGTTAGGATTTTGTTGTCAAAGTTATTTCCTTCAGGTTTGAAATGTTCAGATTCATAATCTGATAATAATATTTTATATACATAATATGCCAACTTATTAGATTTACTTTGTAAAAGTTTGGTCGAGTAACACAATATACAGTTTGTGTCTATAAATATAGAAGATAAACCCGATCCTCCATTTAACATTTTGAGTAAATGTGATTGGACATTCCTAAAAGAGTTATTTTGTTAAAACCCAAAACTGAATAGACCTATAACACCATTGGCTTTATCGTGTATTCTGAGGGATTCAATTGACATTCTTTAGAAAGGTGATAATATTTACTTCAGAACATAAAACATTGCTTTAGTTGCAGATTGTGCCAGTTTCATTTTTTACTTTGAAAATAGAATTATTTTTGGAGAATAGTATGCGAAGAGTTTTGTATTTACGTTTTGTAAATCAACATCACATAGCTCAAAACGTGTTTGTATTCTTTCTTTGTGCCGAAAAATTTAAGAACTTTTACTCGAATTTATAACTAATCTGATTTGTTTACAGTACTCTGCAACGTTTAAACACAATCAAAATTAGGAATGATTACGCCACTGCACAACACATTCACCACCGAAGTTTATAGAATGAGTGACAACATTAGTGAGATCAAGATCCGTGCTAGAATTCTCGAACACGGCCCCAAGCCGTACAATCAGAGCGCCCTTTCATTTAATATCAAGGGAATGTGGTGTCAACGATTTCACCGATTTAAATGTTCGTTTCTCGGATTTTAACTTTCTCTTGTAGTAGGGGGTTAAACAGACTGGATTTCCGAAACCATCGATTTCGAGGCTAGATTTCTCTTTCTCAGAACCAACATTAACCAAGTTTCAGTGAATCAAAGAAGGCAGCTTTCTCGGATTTCATAAATGACCTTCACACTGGCTTCTAGTTCGTTAAGTTGGCGCCTCAGAGAACGCACATCTGCCATCAAAATAGTAGGTAAGAGAGGTCTGGTTTTACGCGACGTTATTCTACACCCCAGTTCGCCTCTCTTACCTCGTTTACGGCTCAAGATTGTCCTTGCTTCCTCATTCGTCACCACTCGCCCCTTTCCGTAACCTGCAAAAAGACTCGTCCCCCTATCGGTGAATGTTATGTGCGAAAATACGACAAACCAATCAGAATGCGCGTATGATTTCAAGTTCTTCGTCAAAGCATCCCTCAGAAATATTTTTTTTATTTTACATGTGTCTTGCATCTAAAATATACCAAAGACACAGTTAAATGTGTTCAATCATACTGTATAATTCCGCACGTCCTGATGTGCTTTAAATTGCATCTGAAATGTATATAATATATGGGGAAATATATGTGAACTATTACGCAAAGAGTTGACAATTGTTTTAGGTATGCCCGTTTGCGCTAAGACGGAACCCGGTCGCAAAAATGGCCACGAGAGGGGCACGAGTCGCTGTTCGGCTTGTCCCGGAATAACACGAGTTGGTCACGAATGCTTGCTTCCTGTGTGTATTCCGAAAATATATCCATATGGAAGTCACTGACATTATTATATCCACAAAACTGGAGTAGCTGTTCCCTTTCATAGCGTATGGTGTTAAAGTCACGGTGGCCACCATGTTGGTTTCATCTACTAACCCTGTTAGCACTGACAACAAGGATATGCTGTAAAAAACAACAAACATGATTAGATCATCACCGCCAGAGTGTAAATAACTCTGTAGCTACAAGAATGACTTAGCAGCAGCATATAAAATAAGCAAAACAACTCAATGGAAAACTGTGAGCGTTTTCAACCGCGCCTGTCGCCACAGCGCTGCGCCATCTAGTGAGTGAAGTGTCTCTACCACTTAAGACATAAGATTTCATTCATTAAGCTGGTGGAGTTGTGGACAGGTGTATTTCAGGACTTCAATTTGTTATTTGTAGTGTTTGCCCATCATGAACCAATAATTAATGGTGAATAAGTGAACTTAACGTTGACACCAGAACAATTGTAAAAGATGAAATGGCACCTGGCTGGAGGACAGATATAGTGTGGGGTCGTTTGGTATAGTTGAGCGGATCTGATAGGTACACTGTTTCATGACCGATGAGTGAGTGAATTGGGCGTTAAGCCACTTTGAACAGTTTTCCAGTTATATTATGTCTGCTTAATGTGGGGGGAAAGGTCGAAGTATTGCAGGTCTCGCTTTGGTGAAACCCACGAGGACGGGTATGGTGCTGACAAGCCAAGAAACATAACAGAGGCGACCCGGGAGTCAAACCCACAATCATAGGCGTCTGGCGTGCCCAAGGGACGCAACCCTGCATAGAAACAAGTCAACACTAAATAATATGTCCTTATGATTTATGGAAAAAAACATATTGTTTGCTGGACGTCTTAAAAGAATGTCAACTTCTATATTATGAGGAGCACAAGGTTTCGGAGTATATGCTCCCTCCTTTATCAGGTGATATACTCCGAAACGTTGTGTTCCTCATTGCAAAGAACTTGACATCTATTAATTCCATCTCTTATGTGTCGTATAAATACTAAATGTCATTCAAAGACTTGTAAGGAAGTGTTGTGCAAAATTTGCATCTGTGTTCCAGATAACAGCCAGAACATGGATCTCTGTAGCTTTGTGGAGGAGGCGCTGGTCATGAAGGAGTTTGACCACGAGAATGTCCTCCAACTGTTGGGGATCTCGGTGAGCGAGAGTCAACAGCCAATGGTGGTCCTGCCCTTCATGGCTAACGGGGATCTCCTGTCCTTCGTCTCGGATGACGCGAAGGTATGGTAAATCTGTTAAACAAACTATTACAAGGTTTTCCTCAGCAAGTAACCTTACCTTCCTCTTCAACAGTCGTTACTGAATCCTGTCTGCTTGGATCACAATAGGATATATGCTGTGTCAGTGACTCTTGATTGGCGGAACGGGTTCATCCTGAACATTCCATTCCTACCAGTGTAGGCAAACGGGGCTTCATGACATAGATACGAGTTAGACAAACTGCTGCATGATATTAAGATGAGTATAGACCAACTGCGGTTCATGACATTAAGACGAGTATTAACCAACTGCGGCTCATGACATTAAGAAGAGTATAGATCAACTGGGGTTCGTGACTTTAAGACGAGTTGAACTAACTTGGGGTCATGACAATAAGACGAATATAGATCAAATGGGCCTCACGACATTAAGACGAGTATAGATCAACTAGGCCTCACGACATTAAGACGAGTGTAGATCAACTGGGCCTCACGACATTAAGACGACTATAGATCAACTGGGCCTCACGACATTAAGACGAGTATAGATCAACTGGGCCTCACGACATTAAGACGAGTATAGATAAACTAGGCCTCACGACATTAAGACGAGTATAGATCAACTAGGCCTCACGACATGAAGACGAGTATAGATAAACTAGCCTCACGACATTAAGACGAGTATAGGTAAACTGGGCCTCACGACATTAAGACGAGTTTAGACCAAGTGGGTCACATGATATTAAGACGAGTATAGACCAACTGCATCGCATGACATTATGACTGTGTGGAACAATTGCGTCTCGTGACATTAAGACGAATATAGACCATCTGCGCCTCGTGAATATTAAGACGAGTGTGGACCAACTGGGCGTAATGACTTTGATGTTCACATTGACACCAATGCACCATGTCTACTATACCACAATGGTGAGAAAAGCCATCCTATTTCTATGTGGAACTGGACATCAAATTAACGGACTAGGGTGAAATACTGGAAAGATTTCCTCCTGGACATGACATCATACTGAGCTCCATGGGTTTGGTAGTCAGTGTACCAGGGCCATGTCATACATAATATTACGAATATTGCATAAGGTGTGCCTACAGTCTCCCATAACTTTGGTAATTAAGTAAGAAGTATGACCATGATACTTACACAGTTCAACCGTTATATGATGGAGATGATATCGCGTCTAGTGTTATCCTAAACAATCTCATAACTTTGTTATATACTGTGATGTTATCACATTCCTTGCAGGAGGTGCGGGTGTACGACATCCTGAGATGGGGTGTGGATATTGCCGAGGGCATGAACTACCTGTCCACTCTCAGACTGGTGCATAGAGACCTGGCGGCCAGGAACTGCATGTGAGTTGTTCACGAAAGGAGGTATCCGATCTATAATTCTGACTATCACACAGCCAACATTTCCTCATGTCAACATGTTGCTCCCACTCAACCACTTGACCAATAGTAGCTCATTTCTCAGGGGAATTATAGTTACATTCAGGAACAATAAATACATAACAAGTAAACAATACACCAACCAACACCCGTGGACAGGCTAGCTGACTGTATTGATCTTATCCCATTTGCGTAGTTCGATGGTCATGATGTCAATCACTGGTGTGTCTGGTCAAGACTCGATCATTTACAGACCGCCGTGATAATGATGAAATATTGATGAGTGAAGTGTTAAAATACAAATAAACTGTACGATTATGCCTGTCGTTGAAACTATGTGTTTACAATGTTCCTTGAGAACCCGTCAAAGATTGCATATTTGGTATGCATCACATCATGTAGCATATGATTTTGACTTAACCTCAAATAATGTATCACATCATATAACGTATGTCTCGACCACCTCAGTGGTCTAGTGGTAGCGCGTCCGCTCGGAGAGCGGAAGGACTGGGGTTTAAAGATGGTACTTGTTGTTACCCTGTCTGGCGCTCGGCATTAAGGGGCTCAAACAAGGACTGGTCGGCTCGGTGTCAGTATACTGTGTCCGACTGGGGTATTAAATCGGTATACGTCTGGACTAGTACAAGCGGACACACACACACACATACACACACACATACACACACACACACACACACACAAACACACACACACACACACACACACACACACACACACACATATGCATGCTATGTCGCTATATAAGTGCAATAATCTTAGACGCGACGTTAAACCACATTTCACGTCACTATGTATCACATTATATGACGTATATATCACCTAACCAGAACTATCTATCCCATTCTATAACGTATGTATCACCTTACCTGAACTATGTATCACATTATATAACGTATATATCATCTAACCTCAACTATGTTTGACTTCATATAACGCATGTACCACCTCACTTATGTATCACTATATGTAATGTATGTGTGACATTTGAACTATGGATCACATGAAGTATGTATCGCCCTGTATGCTCCAGGCTTGATGACAACCTACATGTGAAGGTGGCGGACTTCGGACTGTGCAGAGACATCTACGAGAAAGGCTACTACACCAGCGACAACAAGAAGAAGCTGCCGATCCGCTGGATGGCGCCAGAGAGCATGGAGAGAGGAAGCTACAGCTCCAAGTCAGACGTGGTAGGTACTGGAGGCTGTTACTAGGTGACGACAAACAGGTTTCTGATAAGGACAATATAGAGAGGCAACTCCAAGTTAGACGTGGTCGGTACTGGAGGCTGTTACCAGGTGACGACAAACAGGTTTCTGATAAGGACAATATAGAGAGGCAACTCCAGGTTAGACGTGGTCGGTACATTCGTCACCACTCGCCCCTTTCCGCCACCTGCAAGAAGACTCGTCCCCCTATCGATGAATGCTATGTGCGAAAATACGACAAACCAATCAGAATGCGCGTATGATTTCAAGTTCTTCGTCAAAGAATCCCTTAGAAATAATTTCTGTTTTTACATATGTCTTGCATCTAAAAATATACCTAAGACACAGTTAAATGTGTTCAATCATACTGTATAATTTCGCATGTCCTGTTGTGCTTTTATTTCATCTAAAATATAAATGATATATGGGGAAATATATGTGAACCATTGCGCAACGAGTTGACAATTGTTTTATGTATGCCCGTTTGCGTTAAGACGGAACCCGGTTGCAAAAATGGCCACGAGAGTGGCACGAGTCGCTATTCGGCTTGTCCCGGAATAACACGAGTTGGTCACGAATGGTGGTCGGTACTGGAGGCTGGTCCTAGATGACGACAAACTGGTTTCTGATAAGGACAATATAGAGAGGCAACTCCAAGTTAGACGTGAGGTACTGAAAGCTGGTCCTAGTTGACGACAAACATGTTTCTGATAAGGACAACATAGAGAGGCAACTCCAAGTTAGACGTGAGGTACTGAAAGCTGGTCCTAGTTGACGACAAACATGTTTCTGATAAGGACAACATAGAGAGGCAACTCCAAGTTAGACGTGGTAGGTTCTGGAAGCTGTCACCAGGTGATGACAAACAGGTTTCTGATAAGGACAACATAGAGAGGCAACTCCAAGTTAGACGTGAGGTACTGAAAGCTGGTCCTAGTTGACGACAAACATGTTTCTGATAAGGACAATATAGAGAGGCAACTCCAAGTTAGACGTGGTCGGTACTGGAGGCTGGTCCTAGTTGACGACAAACATGTTTCTGATAAGGACAATATAGAGAGGCAACGCCAAGTTAGACGTGAGGTACTGAAAGCTGGTCCTAGTTGACGACAAACATGTTTCTGATAAGGACAATATAGAGAGGCAACTCCAAGTTAGACGTGATCGGTACTGGAGGCTGGTCCTAGATGACGACAAACTGGTTTCTGATAAGGACAACATAGAGAGGCAACTCCAAGTTAGACGTGGTAGGTTCTGGAAGCTGTTACCAGGTGATGACAAACTGGTTTCTGATAAGGACAATATAGATTCAACTCCAAGTCATACATCGTAAGTCCTTGAGCACACCCTTTACTTCATATATTGGGGCGGTCGGGTAGCCAAGTGGTTAAAGCGTTCGCTCGTCACGCCGAAGACTCAGAATCAATTTCCAACATGGGTACAATGTGTGTAGCCCATTTCTGGTGTCCCCCGCCTAGATATTGCTGGAATATTGCTAAAGCGGTGTAAAACCATGTTCACTACTTCATATATAACATCATATGCATCAGATATAGTTAGATAAAGAATATTTATACAAACTGTTATCTATTCAACGACAATACTATAACCACTGCTATCTTCATGTTTTGAATAAGATAGACAAAAACATTTCCATAATCATAAGAAATCGATTATACGATACGGACCAATTCATGAACATGTGTTCATGAATCACTATCAAATAGTGATGATACAAGGTGTTCGCGAAAAGGTGAACTTACCCTGTCCCACCCGTGGCACCTGTCTCAAAGACAAGTCAGATGTGCACCAGAAAACACGGGAGCAGTGTGGTACAAGTCCAAATTTGGAAATCAGACATCATTTATGTAACTGATGCGCCAAATATGGAAATCAGACATCATTTATGTAACTGATGCGCCAAATTTGGAAATCAGACATCATTTATGTAACTGATGCGCCAAATTTGGAAATCAGACATCATTTATGTAACTGATGCGCCAAATTTGGAAATCAGACATCATTTATGTAACTGATGCGCCAAATTTGGAAATCAGACATCATTTATGTAACTGATGCGCCAAATTTGGAAATCAGACATCATTTATGTAACTGATGCGCCAAATTTGGAAATCAGACATCATTTATGTAACTGATGCGCCAAATTTGGAAATCAGACATCATTTATGTAACTGATGCGCCAAATTTGGAAATCAGACATCATTTATGTTACTGATGCGCCAAATTTGGAAATCCTCTCCGCGTGACTACTAAAACGTGTTGAAAGTTTTAGTGAGGCCTTGAATGCTGTAACCTTGACCAATTAACTTCCGAGCAAGGTTTGCATGACGCTCTTTGAAATCTTCGTAGAAAGAGTATGGACGATTGTACCTCAAACGTTGTAATGTAAACACCAAAGGCTGGAGTTGCTGGAACAGTACTCGAGAAGAAAGGGGTGTTGAGGTGAGGAGAAATTGGGTTTAACGTCGCGTCCAAGATTATTACACATATATAGCGACGTGCATGTGTGTGTGTGGATGCTTGTACTAGTCCGCACTGATGCCGATTTATAGTGCTAGCCCTCTGAGATACCATGCCGCAGTTTAACATGAATACCCCACTCAGACACAGTATAGCCGAGCCGACCAGTCCTTGTTTTAGCCCCTTACTGCCGAGCGCCAGACAGGGTAACAACAAGTACCATCTTTTAACGCCTTTTTGTATGACGTGGGCGGGGATCGAACCCTGGACCTTCAAGTCACCGGGCGGACGCTCTACCACAAGACCACGGAGGCGGTCGAGAATAAAGGGAACGTTGACTGTTGTAACGTTGATCCCTCTTGTCATACAGTTTTGAGGACAGTTTTTGTCAACCTTAATCTGTATGCATACATTTAGCTATTAAACCGATAAGGCGGTCTCAGGTATCGTATATTTCTGGTTCAGGTGGGTGAATCAGTGGAAGGTACGTGGCTTCTTGACTGTCAGCAAACAGTATCAGATCATCGATAATCCTGAAGCTTATGCATAACTTCTTGGCCAACTTCCCTTTGCTTGACTTTATAAATCAGATCAGAAATTCCGATTCACATGCATAAAGAAATATTTCAGTCAGAATATATGTGAAATGCTAGGCTTTCTCATTGATAACAGCTATGTGACTAATTGGGGATAATAGATTCAGGCAGCCCTCCCCATGGACACCAGTGGTTTTCCCCTTAGTACACTTCTTTTGTGTCACTTGACATTGCAAGCTAGTAATGTGTGATGGTACCAGGTTTTGCAGCGTACAACGATCTTAACCGATCGGGTTCAAACATGTTACAAACATGTCTACGTCTCATTTTTGAAGCGACATGTCCAACATAAACGAAGACGTTTTGAAGAATGCCTTTAATATCTGTTATACATCGACTCATGTAAACATCACTTTGATTAAAGAAGCAATGCATATATTCCCATCAGCCACTATGGGCTTTTAAAGTCGGGATTACAAAGACAGCACTGTGTTTGGCGCCGTGCAAAGAGTCTTCAACACAACCATACGGATGTCACAAACTGAAGTGTGTTATTTATATCGGCCGGGTGGAGTTTTTGACTAACTGCAAAACGTTCCCTTACAGTGGTCCCTGGGCGTAGTTGTGTGGGAGCTTCTGACACGCGGAGCCACACCCTACCCAGGAGTGGATGGGTGGGACATCGCACGCTTCCTCCAACATGGACGACGTCTTCAACAACCCTGGTTCTGTAGTAATGAGGTGTAAGTTAACAAACTGATTCAGTATTCAAGTGAATGAATTTTTTTTGTAACCAGAATCCCAGTCGGCAATATTATATTATGTACAGGAATGAATAAATTGCAAGTTATTCCTGTGGCATTTGACTGGCAATTTCTTTTACGTTAATGTTCCTATAAGAGGAACAAATGTTCCGCAAAGCCCACTCCTATTTCCTGTTTAGCTGGTAATAGGGTGGGCCGGGGTTGGGTATTGCGCTGAACGATGTTAGTGTTATCGTATTGCCTTTTGTGTAAATGATTAAATTTATAATCATTCTGTGAAGCTGTTATTGTTAACTTATTTATCTACAAGAACTTATTGTTTTTTGGTTTTATAGAGGTTACAATACAAAAAAACATATTTAAGTCAATTCTGAACTACTACGGCCATAGCAATATACAAAAAGAATGGGATTAACATGTTCTGCAACGTCGGTATCGAACCAGAGTGTTAGGCGTTAAGAACGAACACTGAACCATGTGGCTGCTCCAAAACGTTAATTAAGGAACAATGCTCTATTGATAATTACACGTTTTCCAGTTTATAGTTAGATTGAGAAACGTGTTATCCACATTCTCCTTGTTTATGCCCTAGGTACGGCGTCATGCTGGAGATCTGGTCACTAGACCCAGGGCTGCGACCCACGTTCTCTGAAGTGTCCGAATCACTCACCACGTTACTCAAACTGTCGTCAGACCAGGAAGTGACGTCAGAAAGCAAAGATGACGGTTACGTCACATTTCCTTCATGTTACCGTTATGTTGAGCTTCGGGTCCCCGATTATTTTGTGTTAGACACTGAAGCTTCGAGGGAAAATCCGGATACAATGCCTGTGTAGGGTACATCACTTGTTTGTTTGGATAAAATTACCTTAGAGCCTTATTTAGGTGATATAATCACGTGTTACTAAAGGTCGATAGTTTCTTGTAAGGTTATAAGAATTAATGCCACAGAAACAATATGTTTCATAACGTGGTTAAAATAACACAAGCGTATCCATATCACTATATTTTTTTTTAAAAAGGCTTTGATACAGTCTTGATGAAATTTAGTTTTGGATTAGGAAAGGTAAAATTGATAAACGTATAAATCTACCTTTTTTCATCATGCGTGATTCAACAGTCATTATTACTAAAGAAAGAGACTGAAGTCTGGATTATACACCATCCAGTCTACAGTCCCTTTCTTCAGTAAAGAATATTTTCAAAAGAGGTGAGGTGAGGTGAAATGGGGTTTAACGTCGCGTCCAAGATTATTGCACTTATATAGCGACGTGCATGTACGTGTGTGTGTGTGTGTGTGTGGCTGCTTGAACTAGTCCGGACTGATGCCGATTTATAGTGCTAGCCCACTGAGATACCATGCCGCAGTTTAACATGAATACCCCACTCAGACACAGTATACTGACTCCGAGCCGACCAGTCCTTGTTTTAACCCCTTAATGCCGAGCGCCAGACAGGGTAACATTTTCAAAAGACAAAATATGGGGGAAACTTAAACATTAACTGGCATAACGAACAATTTGAAATACTTGACGTTAAACTTCAACCAGATCTAAAAGATCATTGGACAATAAACACGACACAAGTTAGATGAGATAAATAAATTACTGTCAACTTGGGAGAAAAGGACATTTATTCCACAGGACAAAACTACAGAAATTGCAACATTATCTTTATAAAAGAGGGGCGGTCGGGTAGCCTAGTGGTTAAAGCGTTCGGTCGTCACGCCGAAGACCCGGGTTCGATTCCCGACATGGGTACAATGTGTGAAGCCCATTTCTGGTGTCCCCCGCCGTGATATTGCTGGAATATTGCTAAAAGCGGCGTAGAACCATACTCACTCACTCACTTTATAAAAGAAATTACATATATTCTCTATAAAGTAGATAAGAACGATTTTAACCAGAAAGTATGAAGAAGTTGGACCGGGGACCAATAATCCAGCTGATATTCCTATTAGGTGCAAATGTTAAAATGATTGCCAGACTTGAAACTTCTTTCTAAAAGGATGTATTCAAAGCCTGGATCACCTTTTTGCGAAAAATTATACAACTGAATCAGATAATTAGAAAGAAATGGTTTCTCAGCCTTCGTGGCTTATCACCATTTCACAAATCCATCATATCTGACAAGAATCATGGTTAGCAACTGCATCTAAAAATGATATATGAAATGAACCTGGCCTTATGCCCTGAGATGAACTTTGGAATTTGACATAAAAGGCACTTGTAATCATATCAAAATCATGGAAAGAGACAATTCAGAATGTTTGTTTTATATATATTCTGGCAACACTGTATATCACTTGACACTTGTATATACACAAGCAATATAATATGCAAATATCTTACAACTAGGGGGTATGTATCAAAATATGAGTCCATGTATATGTATTGTATGAACCACGGAAACAAATTTACAAAAGATTGGGTTATTTTCATAGTAGGGTTGGTTGACATATATGCCCTCGAATATCGAGGATGGTCGTTAGAGGCTTATTGTTTTGTGGTACTAACTTATTATGTTACAACATGCAAACTACTAAAATTTGAAACATGTTCATTTCACCTGTGGGTGTCTCGTATATTGTCAACACATTTGCGTACTCGTGAATTACGATGATAATTACATCAATGCCCGGTATGCTGTATTTTCTACTGCATTATATTCTTCTTTATGACGATAAATGACAATGAAGCTTTTCATTTAATGGTATTTAATATTCCTTCAAATACTCAACTATGAACAACTACGTTTAGTTCATAGTTGATTTAAACAATAAATTTGTAGACTGCAAACAAAGGGTTTGTTTACTTTACTTTCAATTGTAGTCATCCATGACGTACTTGAGTTCGACGCTTTGTTACTTTGTATCAATGGTTACTGGTTTATACAGGCATACTTATCCGGCGTTTTGTATGATAATAAATACCATGTTCATTAACGTGCATTCGTTGGTTCTTTATTTTACTCTGGATGTGTTTCTCAATATCATGAAGTGATGTAGGACTTAGGCGTTTACTTCTTTTGTGAATCCAAGTGAGTGAGCGAGTTTGGTTTAACGTCGCTTTTAACAGTATTTCAGTTATATCGCGGCGTGTCAGCTTAATGTGGGAGGAAAGCCCGAAGTGATGTAGGTCTCAGACGTTTATCACTTCGGTAAAACCAACGAGCACGGGTATGGTGCTGACAAACCTAGAAACAAAGTCGGGGCGAACCGGGATAATATTCGAACCCACAATCATAGATTTCTGGGGGCGGTCGGGTAGCCTAGTGGGTAAAGCGTTCGCTCGCCACGCCGAAGAACCGGGTTCGATTCCCGACATGGGTACAATGTGTGAAGCCGATTTCTGGTGTCCCCCGCCGTGATGTTGCTGGAATATTGCTAAAAGCGGCGTAAAACCATACTCACTCACTCACTCATAAGTTTCTGGCGTGCCCAAGGGAGGCAACTCTGCACAGCGAATCGCGGCGCCTTAGACGACTGGGCCACCTGTGCCCCCTTGAATCCAAGAGTCAGGGTATAGGGTCTACAGAACCCCCTAAGGAAAATGGGACAGAGTTGTCTCCCCGGACAACTCCCCACTTATGGTGCTTATATTCTTGTGCTGCAAGAATCACATCGTAGGGAAGCACCACTCTATTCATACAACTACTCTCATGTGTATTCATTGAAGCATTGGTGTAGGGCAAATACAAGTCATCTATCTCACTTAACTGTTCAACATGATGGTCTTCTGTAGCTAATGAAGAATGTTTTGTGCTGAATATTGCACATGATCTGGGCAAGGATGTTAATGTTACCTTGATCTCGGCATGGGCAATCGGCTTCACACATTGTGTACATATGTGTGGAATCTAACTCATGTCTTAAGCGTGACGAGCGAACACTTGAACCCCGCCCCGACTTAGACAGAACGTAGTGGAAGAGATTTCGAGTATAGTTGACAAGCCAAATTGATAAAAGTATAGGCCAAAAGGCAAATGGCCAGTCAAGAAGCCTGGGGTGGATTAAGGCAAGAACTTCGGCAACCACCGATTCTCCATAAAACTCGAATCGACATCATCCGGCGTCTGATATATTTTGATGAAGTTCAACATTCATATATTCTGTATGTAAATCTAGGTCATTGTTGATAAGAAGCTGAATGGTCTCCATCGACATTAGGTCATCAATTCACAAGATAATCTTCAGTGTATTTGAAAAACAACAACGACTGTAACCAAATTCAACGAGAAGATACGACACTTTTACAGACATGCATGTAACAGTGAAAGTTTGGGTGTAGAATCCTGTTTTTATCTTAACCTGCACCCAATAACGACGCAGATTCAGTATGACCACAACAATTACTTTATCAAATGTCACGTCTAGTATAAGTGTATGTGAGGCTTTTATGACTTCTGAAAAAAAAAATTTTTCGGAATATCCTGAGACAAAAGACGTTTAAAACACGAGGTAATCCAAAACCAATAATTATTAAGGAAAAGTCGCATTCGAGGGTGTTTGGAGCTAAGTGCCACTGGAAACGATGTACAAATAACACTTCTCAGAAGTTCTTTAACAACTTTATTAATATCATAAGCAATGTACAGTGTAATAGACTGAATTAATGATGCAGCGTTTGGGTGAACAGAATGTCTAAAATTGTTACACTTGAGGTTTTTATGACTTCTGAAAAAAGATATTTCAGAATATACCAAGACAAAGGCCTTTCATTTCACGAATTGATTAAATAACCAAAATAACACATATCATACGAGAGGGCGTGGAGCCACTGGCAAAAGTTATTTAATAATGCTTTTGATATGATAAGCGATCGGCAATCTAATATATATATGAATTCTTTTCGCAAAGGTTTAAATATAATGGAGAAAACATCATAATACATATCAGTTAATATATGTTTTGGATAATCATTACTGGGTAAAATTAATACATAATATGCATATACAAATATACTGTTATATTAGATTTCCAGTTACATTTTACTAATGTTTGAATATAATGGAGAAAACATCATCATATATATTAGTCATGTTTTGGATAAGCATTACTGATTAATATGCATGTACACATTTACTGTTATAATAGATTTCCAGTTACGTTTTTATTAAACGTATCAGCATTGTTTAAAATAATTATTGCTCAATGATATGCATCATCAATATATGCACAAATAAACACTTTCAATCTATGTACAAATAGGCAGTGTCTTTATGTGTAGAAAAGTGTGCTGTCAATATATGTAGTAATATGCACTATCAATATATGTAGTAATATGCACTATCAATATATGTAGAAATATGCAGTATCAATATATGTACAATAAGCATTATCAGTATATGTAGAAATGTGTACTATCAATTTATCATACAAAGTGTATGTTTCTCGACAGGATAAAGCCAACGGATAAAAACGATATCCTTTTGGGTCATATGCGGATAAAGATGCAAATATCAAATGTCAAGTAGGGACTACTTTCAGTGTTTATAAACAAACATGGCGTCGCCCTTGTCATTCGGCGATCAAGTCAGAATTAACAATCGGGAAAAACTACGGCGATAATTGCTATCATTATCAATAGAACAGTCTAATATACCGAAAATCAGTGTCTATCTGTGATGTAGCTATGTCGTTTTATACGTTTTGGCATCTTTGGAGATATAAATTTCGAAACAATTTTGCGAGGGCACTACGCCTAGCCAAGCGGGATCAGTAGCCATATCTGTGCTTGTAGACCTCTGCGGCTTGAAAAACCTTTTCCACAAATTAAAATAGTTGGATTTGGCCGAAATATGTTTCAATTGTTACCTTGTTTCGTTTTGTCGCTGTGTGTACATCTGTCTGCACTTCTTAATGTTATGACAGGACAGGCAGACTGGGTTAGAGTCGCTTCCCTTTGACCAAGGGCAGTTACTCTAGCGGACAGACCGATGGTTTGCCGCGAAAGGCAAGAAAAAACAATTGTTGTTTTGCGTATATGTTGCTTCGCCACTGTATAAGAAACAGATTTCAGTTGGAACTATATTGGCTACTGTCAATGTCCGACTGACACATCACTTGCCCTGTGACGTAATAAATATCAATACGCGCATTCCAGGAAAACTCGCAATGTTTCGGTAATGTTTGTGAGAGAGTGAAAGCGATTTCAAGCTCAGAATTAAAGTATGACATTATATGATAAAGAGGTTATCATGCTTGCGTGTTTGGGGATGGTAAATATCCTGTATTAGGAATAAACACTTTGTATTCCTAATGCAGGATATTTACCATCCTCAAACACACTCGCGTGATAACCTCTATATATGTACAA